TATATTATATATACACACACACACACACACACACACACACACACACACAGTGCAAAAAACTGGCATTTCCACAAGGGGGTGTAAACATTTTTTTGCATTGATTTTTTTTTTTTTTATGTATATGTATTACAGAGTCAAAAATACCATCAAATGGCCAATAGGAAAGTAGTAATTGTTCTTGTTACAGGGTCGCACCCATTTTTCAGGGTACTGAACACAGGGGTATGGTATCAAAAAGGTGGTGCTTGGAATACAGTACTGCCCTCCATATGATTAGAGGACAAAAGAAATAAAAAATCATTTCATGTCACAAGTGGAGTGGACTAGGGGATATGGACCAAGAAGTGTTGATACATCTTTCAGAGGCACTCACAGATCAATTTTCACAGTTTGGAGTATTAATCAGTAATAATCTGATGAATGTTAAGTCGGGTGGTCATACTGTACATGCATGTATGTATGCATCTAGAGAGACCACCAAGGTAATCATGTGGACAGAAGACACAAGTGGGAAAGAGCTTAAAATGGAGCTGTCAGGGATAAGGACATTATGTTCCGAGTTTTGTCGTATTGTCACCTCCAATCCTTTTTTGAGGTGTGCGGGGTAGGGTGGGGTGGGGGGAGTGGGGGGTGTTGCCCCTGTGAAGCAAGCACATGCAGGCTCAATGTTACACCAGCAGAACACAGTCATGTTCATGCATTTCACACAAGGTCTTGTGTATTCTTCTGTAAGACGATAAAATGCCCCCCTCCCCCCAAAAAAAGTACACAAATGTTTGAAAATGGCTGTTGTCTTCCCCAAAACACAAGGCTACAGCATCGAACTATGCTCAATTGGAAACAATAGCTTGATCATCTGAGATCAAAACTGCAAATAGCATTGTCATAGTACAGAAGGGAAATGCACAGTAGCTGAAGAGAAATCAAGCACTCACCTGCTTTGCTTCCTCTTCTCTGTACAGACGTCCAGGCGAGGAGATGCTCCTGGCGTCACTGCCGCTATGGAGTCTGTGTGAGCACACGCACGCCTTTCCCTATGCTCATTCAGAGCTCCACCGACGCACCATTCATGCATGGATAGATGGATCGGATGGAGACGCGCGCACGCGCGCGCACACACACACAAAGGGAGAACGGAGGAGAGAAAATGCCAGACACCTGGTATGCCAAACAGGATGCTCTCTGCTACTGTATGCATCTTGACAAACAGGAGGCAGATTTACAAAGTGCTTGATTAATGGAATCCTTTTGCTTGAAATTGATTGTTAAAAGCTCTATGCTGCAGTCTATTAGCGAAATAAGAAGTGAACCATAAGTGGTCCTACCAGGTGCTGTATGGGTCCATGTTCAAATTATAGTGAGAGTTCAGTTTCATTTATAGCTTTATGGATTGCACAGTTAACATCACAGGCGTTATGGGATGTGGCTGCACAGCTAAAAATAAATCCAAATTTAAGTGTCAAGCAAAGACATCACTGCAAATCAACCAACAGCTTAAAGCTGACATGCAATATGTACAGAGGAGAGAGTAGGGTTCGTATTTGACAAGATTTTAATTGTTTGGATAGTGCCTTGAGCCGTTAAAGCTGCTACTATCTATTGACTTCCTGCATTTCAACACTCAGTGATAATGAGCTTGTGAATTACAAGTTTCAGGTGGGAGCAGAGCAGGACTTTAATGTACCATCACAGCAAACAAAACACTGAAAGAAAAGCAAACAAGCAAAACAAGCAGGCAAATGAAGTCTTTTCAAAACAACAACAAAAAAAACAAACCTTAAAACACTACAGTATATCGTCTTGAAACAACATGCAATATTCAAAAACTGTGCAGTACCATGCTGATGTAGTTTACAGTTACACAACGATTATTCCTCAATGCAGTGAAGTGAAATCTCATTCAAATACAAGTGAAACAAATAGAGCCAACTGCATTATTACAAGGTGCTTTCATTTTAGCTAGATTAAAATATTTCGCATGAAACACTCTCCTTATAAAGAAGTGTAGTGTTTGTCAAATGTGTCCTCATGCCTTCTTTCTCTTCTTCCGAAAGAAGTCAAGCTTTGGTAGAAGAAGTAGCACAATGCTGCCTGAGAGCTTATTTGTCAACGGTGACTAAAAAAGTGCTACACAAAAAAAAAAAAACAAAAAAAAAAAATCAGGTGACCGCATGAGTGTTGAGAATTTTCTTTACATTTCTTATTTTTCCTCAGCGTCCCCCCCCCCATCCCACCCACACACAAGGTCTTTCATACAGATGTTTCCCGCAAATCTTTGTGTTCAGATTCAGCTGAAGCCACGGGTTGTGAGCTCTCCGTCACCTTGTCTGGTTGTGCAGTCGAAGAGGCGTTTGTGCTCGACTCTTCGGACCGCGGCTCCTTTTCCTGGTCTGCGGGTAGCTGCAGGAACAGAGGAACCTCGAGCTGCTCTTTGGTGAGTAGACCTCGCTGGTCGTCGACCCTGCAGCACTGGGCCCTCGTCAGCATGTCCAGAAGCCCTAATGTTCACATCACGCACAACCTGGCACTCACTCAAATAGCAGCGATTGAACTAGGTGTGAAAATTATTGCAACCATGAGTATGTTAAGGTTATCCATCACACTAAAGGATTCTTTTATAAACATATTACAGTCTCTTATAAATCAGGGGTGCACTTTTTTTTTTTGTCTTTAAATTAGCAGCCTGGCGCAGAAGGTGTGCGCGCCAGTCACAAGGCGCCGTGCAGCATGCCACATGTCCATTTCTCCCATGGAATAGGCATCAATCTTCCTTGGAAAGGGTGCAGATTGATAGCTGGTGTGCACCCCTGCTTATAATAACCTCACCCTTCCTACATTACTGCTAAGGAGTCCTACCATCCATGTCGGGGTTCTTACTGGGCTTTGGTGAAGTCTTTGCTTTGTCGGTCTGAGGGGACAACCGGGTATCCGGATCACCTGATCCTGCCTTGATCCAAGACAAAAGGGATGTATATTTTGTAATTGCAAAACATTGCTGGCAGGATAACATTGCCTGCGAATAGTGGGGGAACATTGTATTGCAATTCACGTTGCAAATCAGACATTGTCTCACCTGTGTGGCAAATGCAGTTCCACTGGCTCTGGTGATGTTGCTTGGGTCTCTTCCTGTTCAAATGTAAAATGTAAGTCAGTTTCTGCTGTCAGATTTGGATAAGGACAGTACTGTATTTTGGGTTGCTTTCTTGGGTGAACAATTGAAAGGCTCGTCGTGTTAAAATTGTGTTGGTTAGGAAAAAGCGCCACACTTTCTACAAGTCAGTGTTTGAGTTTGGAGGTAATGTTCAAAAAGCTGTAGAGCTGTTGCGTTAAATGGAACTTGTGATACGGCCATATAGTGTCTACGCATCTTACCAAGTGTGAGAAGTTGAACCAAGCGCCGATGATCTATAGTGAAGTCGGTGCTGGTGTATCAGCAGTAGGCAAGTGAGGGTGTTAAGTCGACATGGCATCGCGTTCAACAAACCAAATGAACTCGGACATTGTCGAGGGAAGCAGTGAAAGGCACGCGAATCAAGAGTATCACGCGAACACCGATGACTACATCGACCGTAACTCAGGAGAAAAAGTAGGACAGTTAAGAGGACGGTGAAAAGACTCTTTCAACGGTCCATTAAATAAACAAGTCAATGTACAGGAAGTGGGGAGGAGGGAACACATAGAATGTAAAATCTATCGTTAGAATTATGGATCCATAATGCTAAAGTACTTGGAGAAGTACTGTTAACAATACAGTGTTCACGTTGGCATTTATACCTCTTGCTCTGTCAAGCCGGAGCATCTTATTGGCTAGTTTGAACACCGTAGTGTTCATGTTCACAGTCTTGTCACTCCCAGCCTAAAATAACAATGGAACACGTTCAGTATTTTCAGTGCAATTATACACGTATGATAATTATCAAGTAGGTGAAAGATGTGCATCTGACAGTATTGACAATAAGGCTGGGTTTAAACGAAAAACAAGTAAACCCCCAAAAATGTTGAACAATCAGTTTTCCTTTTCATAGCCCAATAGATTTATAAAAACATAAAAATCTTTTCATTTTGTTTTTTTCCCCCCCACATAAATTGTGACTTCTTGCATCACCTGAGATCCCGTCACTATGCGAGAGTAGTGTATCAAAACAACATGGCGGAAGCATTGAAATGAGCGCCAACAAGCTTGAAGGAAGATACCTGGAACTTTCTATTTGCAGCACTGCTGAGAATGTCCTTCATATGAAAGTAAAATTGGTACTGCATGAAATCCTTAATTCAGTCAATCAAAAATTAAAGTGAATATTAAATCAAATTGGGCCCTTGTGAATCGAATCATTTTTGGAAATCTGAATCAATACCCAGCCCTAGTTGACAACAATCAATTACACTTGTCAATAGCAAATGTTAAATCAGAGATGGTTTCCCAAATATTTTTTACGCAGATTTAAAACTGCTACTTTTTTCTAGCACACCAGGTTTTGAGATATTTTCACTTTCTGTTTTTTTAGGTTTTATCTATAAAAGCTCACACAATACAGATTTTACCATGTGTTGCCATTTAATTAGAACCATGACGTTTCAAAAGAAAAAAAAATTATAACATACATATATGCGCGCGCGCACACACACACACACACACACACACACACACAAAGAGGAAAGAAACAAAAGAAAAAAACCCTCAAAAGTTACTTTCATCTCTAATTAAAAAACAAAAAATTGTCAACATTTCCTGACTGGTGTTGCCATTTTTTAAAAATGTCAAATGGTAGCAAAATGCACGAAGAACTGGAACAAACATGCCAATATCTGAAAATAACCCAAAAGTTATTAGCTCTCCAATACCACTAACTCGTGTATAAAGAAATACTTACAATGGTAACCTGGGCCTCGTGAGGCTTTAGGCTATGTTTTTGTAACACTGTGGATAGCGCATCCTGCAGTGTCTTGCTTGACTTTGCCATGATTCCACCAGTCTTTCCAGTAAATGCATTTTCCAGTCTGAAACACACACACAATCTCATCAAGAAAAAGCTAGAACATGATTTCAAAATGAGTTAAGCGAAGGTTCCAGTCACTCAAGAATTTGCCATAGACACCAGCTAGTCTAACTTCACAGTTGGCTAGAAATCATGTCAAAAGTCATTTCCAAGACAGTGTCAAGTGTTAAAACATGGACTTTCCCTCTAAAAGTGTGACAGCAGAAATGTTGCAGTGTGTGTGTGTGCGTGCGTGTACGCAAGCCTGCTAGGGTGAGAAAGAGCAAATAACGCACGGAAATGAGTCAAGAACATTGACTCACACAAACATCACCCGAAGCTCAAGCAAAACCTGCTGATCTCTCAGTACAGAGCAGTCCTGGTCCAGTGATAATGGCTGCGAGAAAACACAGACCAAAATGTGACTTTCACAGATGATGTCATTCAGACTTCATTTGGAACATGAATGAAGCATAACAAAGGAAAATTATCTCATAAAACGTGTTGTCAAGCAAATTTGTGAGACAAAATGCTTCTTTGTCATCTGAGCTGCCATGTCCTCACCTTGTCTTTGCCTTGAAGGTAAATGAAGACATCTTTTAGCGAGAAGCCTCTTTTCTCACATAGGCCGGCTAGCATCTCTCTGATGGGCTGGCCAGAAGGGGTCGGAGCCAAGGAGGCACTACCATCAGGCAGGTAGACGCAGCAATAACCGCCTTCCATCCCACAGCGTCCTCCTGAAATGCCGGCTTGCTCCGGGGAGCGAGGACACGATTGGCCATTCTAAAGAATTTTGGGCACGTGTCAATTTGTAGGGAGCCTTCTAGTAATTTACATGCCTGCTCATCCACACGGGAATAAAATTAGAACAGAGCTACTGGAAAGGCTGACACTCGCATCAGTGCTGCTTCAAGAGGAAGTCAAGTAGTTAAAAGAGGGGAAAAAATAAATCTCTACAATAATATGTTCTATGTGCCCTAACTAGTGGTGTGAACGGTATTCTGATTACATTTGCGTTTGAGGAATATGAAATCAGCAGTAAAATCCACCCATTTTAATTATCCTGAGGGGGTGGTCATTTTGCCACTTGCTGTCAACTGAAAATGGCATTATAGTGCCTCAGGCAATGACCAATCACGGCTCACTTGTTTTCTGGGCTTAGTCATGTAGGCACTGTGATGTCATTTTCAGTTGACAGCAAGTGGCAAAATGGTCACCTGCGGAAATGCTGGAATTTTGCCACGTGGCCATTTTGCCACTTTAGTCAGAGTCTGTAAATGCAATATTAATCAGAATAGAGTGCTTAGACTAGTGGAGACACATACTTATAATACACATAATTGTAGAGAAAACGTTTGACTCGACATAACTTTGCTGCTGTGAATTGGGAATTTCTCCATTGCGAGACTAATAAAGGTTATCTTATACCCTTTGAATAAATATGTCGAAGTCAGGCATGCTTTTCAAGCATAACTGCCATAAAAAAAAAACTACAAGCTGTTAAAGACCTCGATGCCTTTCTTCAAGTCCTGAGATGATATTAGTGATATTTTCAACCAAACAGACCCAGATTTTACACATTGAAAAAAAATGTTGGTTGTATTTACTCAATTTTATTTCGTTAAGTGGTTGCACAAAATAAAATCATGTAGATCATTGAACTAGATGTATTGTCCACAAAAAAAAGTAAATTTGTGTGTGAATCGAGATAAGATCATCATTTTAAAATGTATAATGTTGCAACATTTCTTTGGTCTGATGCCAGGAGCTTTTTCTAATATAAAATATGTGCCTCGGTCCGATAAAGTTTGGGAATTTAATCTTAAAGCATTCAATCGTGAAAACCGCACTGACCTCTGCTGCCCTGTAGAGGGAGTCAAGCTCCACATTACTGCTCGACTTGACAGCTTTATGCTCTCTGTAATAAAGAGAAACATTGCTGTGGGACGCATCTAAGATCAGACAGAAGAAAATATGGTTAGATCAAATTGAATGATTCGCATCAAAGTCTCATTTAGATAAAAAGATCACACCTCCCCAGGACCCTCTTTTTTGTCGCGGTTTGATGCTCTTGCCGGCTGGAAAAGTGCCTTCCTCTGTCTTGCTCTGTTTGAAACAGTAATGACCTCATTAAAAGGCTATTAAAACTTACATCCCGGATCACTTTTGCAAACCAATTCACTGACTTTTGATTTATCTTCTTTCCCTGCCTGGCGCTACCTTTTTGTCACTTAAGTTCGGGCTTCGACTGGCCACATCCTCCCAGGAGACCGTGCGAAAAGGTTCTGCAGAGAGCGGAGGTAAACGTTTGCCTTCTACACTTGCCAAAGTGCAGCTTTGGTAGAGAGGAGAGCGCACAAATCGTCTGTAGCTGTCCATCTTCATCAACTTAAATATCTGGCACGCACCAAGGCAAAACGAAATCAACAAAAAGTTAAGCAACGTTCTAATTGACACTTGGCAATGTGTAAATGTCATTTAAACGGACCTGTGCTTGAGCCTTGTCAAACATATCAAGAGTTGGGTGGTCCAAGTCTTTTTCATCTTTTTTGGCCGTGTCATCGATGTTGACAGAGTGGGGAGCACTTTCAGACAAGTACGCTTCATAGATGGAGCGAGCTCTCACCTTCAGCTACAAATACATCAGACAGACAAAACACACACACACACACACACACACACACACACACACACACACACACACACACACACACACACACACTACATCTTGGATAGTGCACTGTTATGAGTGCAAATTGTGTTTTTCAAACTAGAATCAAGGTTTTCCATTTGGTTCACTGCAACCTGATCCTCAGACCAATCCAATGTCATCGGCATAAAAGGGAGGGAAAGCATGTCTTACCTCCTCCAATGATGTAGTAGCTGGGATCTTCTTGAACTTTTCACACGCTTGCCAGAACAATATGTTCTCTGCACTCACCTCCGATTTCAGAAAGGCCTGCGACAAGTAGACACAGGACAATTTGCTGGAGGTGCACGCCTACCTGGTGAGAGGAAAACCTCCATTTGCTTATGTGTTGCAACCCACTGTAAAGTAATTGACTCCACTGGGGTCTTCCAACAGCTTCTCAAAGGAGACAGCCCAGCTTAGCACACTGTTAGCCGGGCAAGCCTCTCCGCCCGGGGTCCCAGGGAGGCTGGAGCTGCTGCCTGTACTGCTCCGTGCAGCCATATTCAACTCTGCACACAACAGCGTAGCACGCACACACACCCATTTACCAGAAAGGATAAGCACAACAACAAAAAGAGGTTGAATCAGATATGTTCTTGTATCGTGCATCGACTTGTTCCACTCTGCTATTAGCAGGCACTTCAGGCTCACCTCCGTCTGAGACTGCAAGGCTCTGTTAAAAGAAAGTGAAAGTTGATTTAGACAGGACAAGACTTGGGTGGCACTAGACAAAAAAAAAAAAAAAAAAAAAAAAAAAATTCAAAGTTGATATCCATTTCAGAAATCAAATTGGGTTTAGGGTGTTGATTTTGGTACTCTGTGGGTGTTTTTTTTTGGGCTCTCAAGAGTGATTCTTTTCAAAGAAATATCAACAAAGATACGAAGGGTTCAAATACATACACATTTGCATTGTTTGTGAAAAGAAGTCTTTTTCTGGTCCACTTTCAAGACAAAACATTTTATTTTAATGTAATGAAGCAATTAAGAGGCCAGTTTTGCAGGGGGTGTGGGGGGGATAATTGAGAAGGTCTTTCACAGAAGGTGTTTGATGTCATTTCATCACAAAACCAGACAACTCCAACAAAATAATTTAGTTCAAAAAGAGACAAGTCACCAATACTCACATACAGTATTACACTTCAATGTATGCCTTGTGAATATAATCCAGCTACAATCTCTTCAACTAACCCTTAACATTAATATAACCTTTAAACAGGGAGAGAAAATTCATGTTGAGTGCAGAATTTCCACTTTGTTGCCGCTATCCTCAAGATCCTGTCGACCCATTTGATTGCGACCAACAATCGGCAAAAGCTTCCTCATAGAATTTGCGGACCTGATCACGAATTTCATGACGTTATCTTTTTCGAACCGTTTCATGCAATTATGATTTCATGTTCACTTTCGAGCACAATCAAGCTATTACAGAAAAGCTAATGGGAAATAACGGGTGCAGACATGACTGAGGAAGTATGTGACATAACGTTCATGCCATTAAGTGAATGGGCTCGTGACTGGCTGGAATGGAGAGGACGGTAGAAAGAGGTGCCAGATATGGACAAAAATATATATCCCGACAACGATACAGCATTTTTCCGTAAAATTCCACGACATAGACAACTGATGGAAATGATCTTTCTGCTAAATCTGGTGCAAGCATCTTTTCATGTGTTTAGATATTGATTAGTGTATGTCCATTGTCCATAGTCTAAATAGTTACAATCCATAATATTCCATTATATCGATGATAGACATTAAATATTGTATCTAAGATATATCGCACAGCAAGAGTTGCATCAAAATGGAAACGGCATTCCCCCCACAACTAAAACCTTACATTCTTTATAAATGTCTTGCGGTTTTGCAGGGTTAGGAAATGCACCATGGAACATTGCCGTGATAGGAAATCTGCAAGTAGGTGTGGCTCTATTTTTGTCAAAATGATGCTCGACTGCTTGAACTCTTCATATGCTGTGCGAGTTAAGCAGACCAAAGGAGCAAGACAAATATTGTCTACGGGAAAGAAATATATGTAACGCAAACAACAAAACCCCTGGAAGAGACTATGCTTGATGTTAGATGCTCTACTGTGACACATGTTTACATTTTAAACTGAAATCATATTCGAGGTCCCACCAGTCAGTTCTAGATGCTATTCGGAGATTATGTTAAAAACACAAGCAGATTTAGAAGTGCAAAACCATGTTAAATGTTTTTGTTTAATTTACAGGAGCAACAAACGGAGGGAAGTGCGCAGGAAGTGGTTGTGACACTGATGGTTGGCTCTCATTCAGCTTTTGGAACTGGAGACGCCCTCAAGATGAGAACAAACTCAAGCTCACAGTGACAACATTCATTTCGCAGTGACAGCAACGGTGGAAATCTCTTACAGGAGTCCAGCAAAGCATTTTCTTGAGCACATCAAAAGGCATCAGTGCTTGAAATGAGCCCAAAACAACACATTTTCTGCACTGCCAATGACAGGAACAGTCACATCACACAAAATGACAAGCGCCGAGTGTAAATTTCCACGAATAAAAACGAACACATCCAGGTTTTTTCCATTACAAAAGTACACCATCAGTCATGATCTCACACAGCCTACACACGACAGATTGGCAAATAGGCCCTGTGTGGTTTCTCACTCTCTATTTTTAGTACCTGTAGCAATAGAAACTGCCCAACAGACGCTTTCACACTCATGTTCTGAGCATTTATGTCACTTTAATAACATCCAAATCATTCAATATGGACATATGGGGGGGCTCCTTAGATCCCCCTTTTAATATGAAAGACCCTACTAACCGAATCAAACTTGAAACAAAAATACAAATTGTTAGTCTTACGAACTCACCATGTGGCCAACAGGAATCCCTCGAGAATTACAATTTTTTGCCATTTTAACCAAGACACCACACTTCGATGCCCAAGTACGATGCGATGCCCACAGTGCCTGAAGACACAATAAAGGCTTCCACCGAAACACACCAAACCTCTTCACTTGGGTTACCCTGGTCACTTCCTGCCTGGAAGTCTTGCCATAGCAACAGGCCACAAAAGAGGAAGTAAAGTCACTATGATCACATCAAACTGTTCTCAAGCAACATCTTGAGAAACAAACTAAAAGGCAAAGTGTGCTGCTAATGAACATCGGACTCCCTTGAAGCAACCAAAACCATCACAAAACCACTCAATGTGTTTATTTTTAATTAGTTTGCCACTTGTAGTAGTTGTATTATTTCTCTCCTGGGAAATTATTGAAACTCCATTTTCCTGATGTTCATTAATTTAAGATGCGAGTAAGAATAAAATGGGTTTCATCATTGAAGCAAAAGTATTTGGCATGTTTTAAATTGGTCAAATAAATCCCTTGTTTATATTTAACTGCTTATCAAAACATTTTCTGCTGTGACTAATACTGCAACACGTCTTTCATAAAGGGGTTCACCATTTAAGCTATGGGTTGGCAAAGTACTGCCCTGGGACCACATTTGGCCCGCTCCATTTTTTGGCACATTTGCCTTTAATATTTCTTTTATTTGATTTGCTGTGAAGCCCTGGATACTCACCGCTCAAATTATCCATTGATTGAACCTATCTTCCGTTATCTGCTGCTAACCTTGGCTTCTCAGCGTTTGTGGTCTATTTTTTTTGTGCTCCTGCAAAAGTCATGAATTGCTTTTTTGGCATCTGATGGTATCGTTTGTGTTAATTCATTGATTGTGTTTTTGATGTCTTGTTTCCTTCGGGATCCTTTAATGCACCTTATTCAAAATCAAAAGTTAAAGAACAACTATGTTCCTGCTTCTCTCCCAATGGATATAATATACTGAACTTTTCTTTTACAATTTGCCCATATTCCCTACCATCAATTAAGATGTGTAAATGCCAAAAAGCGAATGCAATGACTCATACACTAGCACGAATCAACTCAACAGTATCAGTAGTGCAATATTAGTGCACACGTTAGTTTGTCTTTGACTGCTGTCAGGTCACTTTGTGCTGCATGTCTAGGCTAGTTTGCTAACCAATACGATGGATAGCCCGCCGCGTCAAGCAGGGTTTGTGTTGAAAAAATAAATACTGTACTGAATATATAGTCATTGATGCAACATAGGGTTACATTAGATGGTGTGCATTGCATTTGATTCATTTAAAAAAGTATGCGCATGCACACACATTTATAGAGTACATAAATAATATGTCCAAGGTCCACTGAATATTTTTTTTTTCCTCCTCTGTCGTGTTTCATTCTGTTTCATTCATCGTCTTACCTTGTCACTGGCCATTTCTGTTCCTACCGCTCGCCACTTGTCATATCTTCTGAACCGCTTGTGAGCCATAACCTTGGCCAGGTGGGAGAAGCGTTGATAAAGGCCCTTGAAAGCAACCATGCTGCGTCTGAGTGGAAACCGAAGAGAACTGACAGGTATGAAGTGATTGACAGCTTTTGATTCTCCTCATTGTCACTAATCACACCTGACATGCGCACAAGGGTGTTGCGGCAGGTGGGACAGGATCGCTTGATTGGCGGTGCAAATGTTAGCTACCAAGGCCTGGATAACAAGTCTGTTGTTTTTACATTGTTTGAGGTTTAAAATGCCCCAATATTTGATCTGGGTGCTTAAGTGGTCCAAAATGTGTTTGTTTGTCAATGCATAATGTTTATGCACTATCAGTTATTGCCATAAACTGATGGTAGCTGAAGCTGTAGCACAGGTAGTTTTTAAATTAAAATAAATTTTAGAAGGGGACAACATTTTGTGCTCAAAGGCAGAAATACATTTTCAAAATAGACAGAAAGTCAGGACAAGGGGGAAAAAAAGTTCAAACAGTAGATTTTTTTTTTTTAGAATTCATTCACATGTTCTTTGTTATTTTAGGATGAATTTAATTGTAACTAGTCATCACTCAATTATTGAATAGATTTATTTTACCAACACTGTTAATTTTAAGTACATTTTGTTTTGTTTGTTATTATTTTGATGCAGCAGGTTGAAAAGGTGGTTAGCACATCTGCTTCACAGCTCTGAAGTCAATGTTTCGAATTTGCGCCTAACCCTTCCTGTGTAAAATGTAGGAGAGTTTTTGATGCCAAGAACATTAAAAAGGTAGATCTTGAGTCTGCCAAGAAAAAAAAATTATGAGCACATTTTTGGAACACTTGGTTGCTATATCTCAACTTTGACCTGTATGTTTTCCTGTGGGTGTGTGTTTTTCCCCTGAGGTTGTGTTTAGCGTTACGGACCTAAACTAATAGCTAACTAGTATACTCCCTCATCACTATTTTGTGGAAGGCAGTTTCGAGATTAAAAAAAGGCTTGAGAAAAGATAAAAGTAGGGTCAACTTATTTCACATTGCTTAATTGTCTGAGACACAATTGCCCCTTTAGGGCTGTTACATTCAAATGAATTCCTTGTGTACCCTTGACATTTACATACCACATGACTTTTACATCCACCTTTTACACCTTTTTTGGCCTTGAAAGGCGCAAACAGCGGAGTTTAGTAATAAGCCCCATGGCTGACATTTGTGTGAATTGTCAATGTCAGGCTGTACCCTGAAAAGCAGCCGTGCTCTACTGGGTATTGTGCAAATAAATATTGCGTGGGAGGTACATGCATGACCCGATTAAAATAATACAGAATATTGCTGCTCCAATGTTGCAATTCATGATTCATTTGTGTGTGCAAAGGCAGCATTTGGCACTGCGGGCTGCTTCTACTTCATGGTAAATTTCCCTTGTGGCTTCCGCTGAATCAAGTATCTATCTAACTTCAGGATTTACATCTTTAGACTTTTTTTTATTTCGTACTTCCCCCTCTGTGCTAACAAAATACAACTCACCAACAAAACAGCAATAATGAATTCCCGTTCCTTGCAATGACTCCCAACACAAATCAAAAAAAAAAAAAGGTTTCATAATAATTCATCCTGCTGCTATTCAAATCGGGCCAAATGTGAATTTGGATCTGGATCAATGTTTTTCAGCTGTTCTGTTGCGAGAGGCAAAGTAAAGCAGCACATCAGCCTTTACACCCGCAGCAAAGTCAATCAATTTTAACGTCGTGCATGTCCGTCTACGTGTGCGTAACTGTGGAGGCTGGAAGGAGAACTGGAGTGATGAGCACATTAAAAAGATGCCTTCAAAAGGCAATGCACTCTGATGGTTTCCGGTGGCAGTTATGAGTCTTTGCCACTTGGTGTCGCTGTTAGCGGCAAGAAGATTGCTTGATCGTGCTGGAAAAAGAGGGTGGTTGAGATTTGAAGCACGAAGCTCAGAGTCAGAAACGTCTAGTTGACATGTAAAGTCCTACATCCTTCAAAATACAGTAAACGATTGAAAGGTTTACTGTCAAAAACAAAAAAGAAACAAGAAAGCTCTAAAAAGCAAAACATGTCAGAGTACAGAGTTGGACATGAAGTGATGATGACAAATGTAATTTCCATTATCCACGGGCGGCAGGCCATCTGTCACTCGTCCTTCCTTGTGCAAGGCAAGGCTACCGAGCATCTGGCGTCTAATACACAATTTAGTCAATTTAGACACAAGAAATGCTATTGATCAAAGTGTAATTGAAAGCAAATATGACAAATCACATTATTTTTAGTATATATGACCCGTCCTCTGGCACTTGTATATGCTGAAGCAAACATATAGGGAAGGAGGTACAGGGCAAGCCATGGTGGTCCAGCTCCTTTCACACTGAGGCAGTTTTCATCGAGAAGAGCAGCTGTCCGACAAAGGCTCAACATTTAACCCAAAAAAGGGAAAATAATTATTTTTATTTTCTCATATTTATATGCTGATTGATGATTAATTCGGATCTGACTTTGAACATTTGTATATCAAATCAATCACTAAAACAGCCTTTTACCAGGTGAAAAACAGAGCCAGATGGAAGGGTTGCATCCTCCAAACAGATCAGGAGAACCTGATGCATGCTTTTATCTCCAGTAGATTATTGTTATTGTCTTCTGAGGGGATTCTTTCAAAAGAGAACAGCTGCAGCTCATTTAGAGCACTGCAGTATGGGTTCTGACCAGAACAAACAGACGAAAACATATTACTCCAGTCCTAAACGCTTTACACTGGCTCACAGTCAAAGTTCTGCTACTGGTCTATAATTCACGGAATGGTTAAGAAATGCTAATTACACATAAACCCAGTGCGATTCCGAGGTCAGTAAACTTCGGTCATTTATTGGGGCCCAGAGTTCAAAGCAAACATGGTGAATCAGCCGATAGCTGTTTTGCTGCATGCAACTGAAATAAGCTGCCAACAGACCCGAAGTCGGCCTATGATCACCTATGATTGAAGGCTTTTAAAGCATTTGTTTTATTTGCCCTGTCATCGCCTGATGACCAGTGCAGGGCTTAGCTCGCTTCTCCAAAGTCATCCGAGATAGTCTGGACTCATGCGCCTGATGAGGACAAGAGTAAAATAGATGGATGGATGGATTTTATCAGGATTGACTTATTTGTAAGTGCTGTATCTAATTCTAATTGCACAAGTGCTGATATTGCAAATTAAAGAAAAAAATATATACTGGAATCCTGAAGACACAGTATTAGTGAGTACTGCAAGTACCTACTGTAGCTTAGGTGTTGGTGAACGCTTTCAGCACCATTTGCACAGCACCGTTCAAACCATTGTGCAACATAGCACCGGCCACTCCCACTGAGCACAAAGCTTGTGTAGTTGAGCAAAAGAGCCTCGAAATGTTTTAATCCGGACACAGAACAGGCGTGCTGAGACTAATCCCACTGAATGCCCTGCTCACAGGAAGGCTCCATAACAGACACCGAGCGGCTTTAGACAGGCAGCCGTGGAAAAGATACGCGATCAGCTCCTCTACCGGAGAGGATTGGATGCGCGAATGGGTTATGAGTCGATGCGCCTGCTCAGGAATACATTCAAGGATATAATCCTTTTGAGATTTAAAAGTGTTTCACTCCGTGCATACTGTCATTCCTCATCTTTGCTTTTCTGCATTAGCAGCATTCCGCCCTCAGCCATATGGCAGACTGTCCCAACTGGGTGATAATGTGCATGTGTGTGAATGTTGACTAGGTTCCTCTTGTAGCAGGTGGCTCAGGAGATAATCCAGGTAAAGCCACTGCAAAGGTGGAGATGGAGGGATGGCTTGAGGAAGGGGGTGGGCGGATGGATAGAGTGAGTGGCCTTTGTATGGACTTCTTGGGCTAATTCTGGCCTCCTAATCCTGCTCCCGTTCGCCCTCCTCTTCTTCCTGCTTGCCATCTCCACACTTTTGGGTTGGTGCGACCGATGGCTAGGTAGACTCAAGCATCAAGCACGCACACCCTTAACCTTAACGGGTTCTCTGAGCAGGAAGAGGGTGAAAAAAGAGGCTGCGTGAATCATTGTTGCTAGCTATCCTGGACCGCGCATGAGTGCGCCTCAGTGGAGAATGTAGCATCGGCCCTCCAGTCGAGCCAAGGATACGCGCCGCCATGGGAGAAGCTCAGAAGAGTAGTGGTGTGATCCAACCCCAGGTTAGCCATCATTTTTCATTTCTTAATTTTGTTGTTGTTTCGTTGTTGATTCTTTTGGATAAACAGAATGTTGTGTATTTTGCTATATTTCTTGATTCAGCATCTGTTTATACTGCATAGGTTATTTTATTGGATAAAAAGAAAGCTCAAGATGATACTTTTATTTCCTCCCGTTATGCAATTTAACATACCATAATTTAAAGCGACAGTGCCTCAGTTTTAGTAGCTCCGTGTTCTGTTTGGCGCACCTTGATGGAGGCTAATCACGTTACATTGTGCATCATTAAGTGAACGGAGACACTATTCTAAATAAAGCCTGAGATTACGTCTTACAAAACAGTGCTCAGATGATGTGTGAGCTATGTGTGTCATGGGAGCTTTGACTTTGACTTTTGTCCGATTTCAGGATGGTTAGTGCATAGCTAGGTCTACTTTTCTTTATTTAAGTGTCCAGTATGGCTTAAATCTCGTAAGGTTTTCGGAATTAACAGTCCCATTTTGCGTGAGAAAATGACATATCATGACACATAAAAATGTCACAAAAAGTAGGAATAGTGAAATGATAATGATCCTGCTTACTCAAACATTTTGTAACCCATTGTGAAATCTGGGGCTGTTTAATTCAACTGTTCTGCGTAGGTACTGGCGTAGATATATATACAAATGTTTTTGTCATTGATGATCTCCTTCAACCCAATATTGTGCCAAGGCACTCTGATTGGGAATCATGGTTGTAAGTTAATGTTTAAGCAGACAAACGCAGTTCGAAAAAAAATCTAATCCACCCTGTTTTCATTCATTGCTTCAATATGAATATTTGATTGTTGTTTATCGATACTATCCTGTTTGTATCACTTGCCATGCACAAACATTCCACGCAGCATCTGAAAGGCCTCCCCTGCCCGTCTTGTTCATGCAGGGCTTACTCTCCGTCATTGAGAAACTAAAAGGAAACAGTGAGCAGGAAGTGCGAATAGTTCTTCTGGGTTTGGACAATGCCGGCAAGACCACGCTGCTCAAGAGCCTCGCCTCTGAAGATGTCAACACCATCACACCCACGCAGGTGGTGTGACACATGCTGTAATCTGACCACTAGGACACAGTATGAACGCTTTAAGCGGCCACTAGAATATGACCACCTAGCATATGGTGTCGTACGAATGTGTGATTTAGGACTAAAGGTCCTACCGAAGTTTGTTGCATGAAATTTGACATGCGCTTCACTTAGAAAAATCTACAGCCGATGTACTCATCAGGTACCAAGCTAATCTCTTAGCTTCTGTCCGCATGTCATATGGTTTGCAGTTGACATGACCGACTCAACATAATCTGCCTTGACGTGTAATTACAGTACAGCAACACTCATCGAAGCATTACAGTTAACCCGATGACATAATCTAATGTGGTTTCAGGTGTTGCTTTTCAAAAATCCACATTTGGATTTGAAAAATTTCTGCGAGTTCATTCTCAAAACAGAGCATTATTTGTTAAACTGTTGGTATGTACAGTAGTTAGTTACCTTGTTGGATTCTGAAGGAAATATTATGCACTATCATAAGTAGCGGTTACAATCACTCAAGTAAGAAAGCCTACACGGTGTGGTTCAAATCAGTTAAAAAGCCATTTTAAAAGATGTAATTGTCAAACTGATGTTCTTTCCCAGTACCGTACAGAAGTTTTAAATGGAGGATCTAATTAGGTGCAAACAGATGGACCAGTGCACTCTCCCACGCAAAGTAATGATTTTATTCAGATGACTTTTGACCTTCTAATGAATGTGCAACAAATTAATTGGCCATATGGGTTGAATATGCCAATATAAGCACACACTGTTACTGTGTGAGTGCGTCTGGTTCTTTATTATTCAGGGTGGATATTGAGTCGTAAACAAAATCAGATTTCAGGTCAAGTTTCGACAGCTGAACACAGAAGTGTTGTCTTCTCAGATCTGTTCATTAGTTGTTCGACAACGTCAGTCGTGAGCGTTACAATACAATACAATACATCCTCATTTATAGCGTTGCTGCAAAAATGCTGTCAATTAACACAGTGAGCGTTCTGGTAAATCCCTTGTCATATTCCTGCTGACACACAAACATCGTGTGATGCTTTTTGAACTTGATGCCGGCATTCGTGTGTTCCAGCACGTTGGCCTTTGAATGTAAACTAAGCCAAGATCATCATAAATCCAGTGTTGTCTCTCTTTTCAGGGATTCAACATCAAGAGCGTTGCCTCTCACGGGATGAAGCTCAACGTGTGGGATATCGGAGGGCAGAGGAAAATCAGACCTTTCTGGAAAAAGTATCTGGAGAACACTGATCTGTTGGTAAGTGATCACCAAATAGTACGCAAGTGATCATGACAAGCTACTGTCGCTAACATGCAAATAGAGCAATGATCAAAACAAAAAATTTCTACATTTTTTTCTTTCAGATTTATGTTATTGACAGTGCAGACAAAAAGCGATTTGAAGAAACTGGACTGGTGAGTTTGATTCTGAACTAAATTATGTTCTTGCTAAATGACAGGCACATTGCAACAATGTCTCATCTGACTCTGTTTTTTTTTTTCCTGTTTATTTTTTTTAAGAAATCACAACAAACTGCACAATTAAGTTGCCTAACAAGCAATTTAGTTACAAAGCAGGATTGGAAGTGTACTCAAATATTTTTAAACATGATCACAGCAAGGGATGTTGAAGCCTTGCATACTTCCTTTTACTAAAATCCTCAAAACAGTCTCGAATTTCGATTTCGATATGCATTACACTCACCACCAGCCACTTCATTATAGTTACTCATATACAATTTAATGAGATCCATTCATTCCAACAGCTGCACATAGCATGGGAAACAGCTCTCAGTATGATCCACTTCAGGTCTACACCACTACAAATTAACATTAAATTTACTTGTTTATCTGAAAATGTGGAAATTGAATGCACCGTAATCTTATCAGTCAGTGGTTTCAATGCGAGAGCATTTCTAAACTGTGAAAGATGCAAGTTGTCCAGTGGCTTATCAGGACTATATGTGTATTTATGAGTAGAAATAAAGTAGGTATTTGCAAAGCTGTGTGGCTCGACTACAACTGGAGACGCATACAGTATGTGGGTGAAAATTATAATTATAATAATCGCATTTAAAAGCGTCACAGTGGAGAAATTCACTTCCAACAGCAAAAGGCAGCGCAAGAGATTTAGAATGCACACAATATAATGAAAAAGAAGCATTGCTAAATAACCACATGTGTATGTGTGTGTGTGAGAGAAAGAGAGAGAGAGAGAGAGAGAGAGAGAGAGAGAGAGAGAGAGAGAGAGAGAGAGAAGGGTCTTTACTTAGTCTAGAGGATTAACCGGTAAGTAAAAACAGCAACAACCTTGTGTAACACGAGGTTGTTGCTGTTTTTGCACCAAATACCAAAATTATACTTATCTACAAATGCCGTTGATTTTCTACCATTTATGAGCATACAGCAGTTGATTCTTGGTTTTTAGTAACTTAGTTGTTGAGAAGCACAGTGCAGAGATTCAAGGTTCAATTCCAGCTGCGGCCTGCCTGTGTGGAGTATGCATGTTCTCCCCCGGTCCTGCGTGGGTTTTCTCCTATTTTCTGCTGCTAGTACTGATCCCAGCAAGCACAACACCAAGATTTTCCTCTCCTGGGGCTTACGGGCGGTTTGACCGAAATGGGAGGGGGCTGAGAAAACCATCAGTTTTCATGATTTGACTTATTTTTTTTTTAATGGTTCTTGTTTTTTTCAGTAAAAGCAAGGTATGCATGTTCAATATTCAGGGTTTTAACTACCGGTAGTTAGGCCTTAGCATATTCAACAACAACAAAAAACAAAGGGCAATGGCAAAATCTTTCACCACTTCTTGTTTGACCGCAGGAGTTATCCGAGCTGATAGATGAGGAGAACCTGAAGGGCGTTCCGGTGCTCATCTTTGCTAATAAGCAAGATTTGGCCACAGCATCACCGGCCAGCGAGATCGCCGAGGGACTCAACCTTCATACATACAGAGACCGCGAGTGGCAGATTCAGGCCTGCTCGGCCGTGTCTGGAGAAGGAGTTCAGGTTAGCTCGGAACGTTGGCTTCCTTTGGCTATACGTATCTCCTCTTAGAAAGCTTGATGAGAGTGCGCCTGAAAGGTTGCAAACTGCTGTTTTGCTTCTCCAACAGGACGGGATGAACTGGATTTGCAACAACATCATGAATAAGAAGAAGTGAGCCCAAACGACATGAAGCAGACAGCTAGCATCATTATCATATCACAACACACACACACACACACACACACACACACACACACACACACACACACACACACACACACACACACATGCGCACTCACACAACAGATGTGAATAATTTGTTTTTGTCATGCTATTAGTGTTTTAGGCTATGATAAGTAAGTTAGGTTTCTGCAGTGTTTATCAATGCGGAATGTTTCTGCCCCCTCATCCATCAAATCCTTGTCTGGTGATCCTGTGAAACTATGTAAACTTTGCTTAAATGTGTTAGAACCGTTGCTGTCGGTAACATTCATACTGTAGTTCGGTGTGGGTGCAATGTGTCTTTTGGAAATTTTTGACAATAAAATTTTTCGCCCATCTTTTCTTCTCTCATTTTCATTTCTTGTTAGTCTGAAATATTCTTCGTCTTAAATGATGAGACGTGTGGCACAATATCATCCATCCAGCCATCGCTTGTTTTGCTTATCCTCATTGGAGTCGTGGTGAGCTTTAGCCTATCCCTGCTGACTTTGGGCAAGCAGCAGTATGCACCCTCAACTGGTTGACAGGCAATCGCAGGACACAAATAAACAAACATCCTTTCACTCGCACTTTCGCACCAGCTTTTGGAATGTGGCAGGAAGCCGGGTAAAACACATGAAAGCATGAGGCAAATGTACAAACTCCACACAGGAGGAAGCCCAGAGCCTGGATTCCAATCCCTCACCTCAAAACTGTGAGGCGGATCTTTTGATATTTGTAGGTTTGAAGGAATGAATAAAAAGTGTTTCTATCATTTTGGGTTACCTATTTATTTACATGAGAGGGTCAAGTATATGTGGTATATTAGAAGAAGCTCTCGGGATGATTCAGTGCATTTCTACAACACTACAAACCACAAGCACAATAACAAACCTGCTGTTATCAGTGTAAATTAAAACTGAACCCAATTTTTTTTAGGTTGTGTTCAATTCGAATTCCTTCCTATTTACGTTCATACATCTAATAGCAAGCAGGCGTACATGTTTTCATCATAACGAAACTAGAACTACTTCCCGCTTCTGTGTCAAAGAACGATGGCAATGCAACATCATTGCAGTCTGTGGGACCGAGATGTAAATGACACAGCCAGCTTCCAATAGCTACGAGAACTAAGCGAAAAAAAAAAGTAGGCGAGCGAGGAAGGTGGCATATTTGTGAGTGGATTAGCTTGTTTCCAGCTGCTGATCTGTCAACCAAAATAGCATTTCGCAGCCAAGATTGAAGAACAATGATTACACTTTTTGTTTTGACTGGCAGAGGAGCACCTCCTCTTCTAAGTTCGGAGCAAAATAAAATTCATTGATGCGTCTATAAGAATGTCTTAGTGGTGCATATGAATGAAATACATTTCAGTAGTGCGCATAACAGCTTTTCAATTTTGTGTGAGAGTGTTTTGGTGGTGTGTATGACAACATTTCAGGATTGGAATGGGAGCATTTCAGTCGTGTAGATTAGAGTGCCTGTGTAATGTGAAAAAGAAAAAAAAGCAGTGTGTATGAGTGAAAAAATATTCTGTAGTTTGTATGAGAGCATCATAGGACTGGGTACGAGTGAGAAAATCAGTAGGGCGCTTAAGAGCATTTTAGTAGCGTGTCATTTTATGAGTGTGTTTGAGAAATAACCCTAAATGATGTCCCTCATGTCTCTTCATACAAAATTGTCCTTCACAAGCATGAGGGAACTTCAGGGTCATTCTCCTTCACTTTCATTGCTCAAATCTGAGGAGGAATTGTTCAAAACACTTTCTCAGCCTTCACTTGTTTATCCTTGACAAATATGTCCTTAGGTTCATCCTGCTGTTTTTTGTTTTGTTTTGTTTTGTTTTGTTTTGTTTTGTTTTGTTTTGTTTTGTTTTCGTCACGTTACCATACAGTAGATTTGTGGTTAGGTTTGACCGTGCTGTTTGCTGAAACTTCCATCTCGCTGTCGGAGCTCAAATTTAATGGATCTTTTGTTGCAATCATGGGGAGATGTAATGAGACATCTGAAAGCAGTTGAACACCTCATCACTTTGTTGGCTTGTCTCCAGATGAAGTACCGGTAATTGCTTCTTTTTTGGAGTCTTGATATGTGAATGGAGAGGATGGGGGGCTTTTTGTTACACATTCTGGCACAAAATGCTCCATGGCAACACAAAGTAGAAGCAATCCTTGAACGTTCCCTAGCCGTGGTTAACGGTTGAAATTGTATACATTCTATGTGTCACCTCTAACCCAAAGCCAGCTAGGTTAGGCAAGCCATACAGAAAATGGATGGATGGCTGAAAGCCCCCGAATCAAAGTGTGATGTCACATTGTCACATGAGTTTCCATGGCAACCCTCCTTGTTATTCTCCATCGAGCGTCCTCTCTCCTCCAAGCATTCCCTGTGCCACCTTCTTTCCTTTTGCACGTCGGTCACTTAGTCGTAGCTGCTCTCCTCAAAAGAAGAACACCTGACATACTGGATCAAAACGCACACACTGGTAAGAACAAAAGACAGCCTGTGCTCATTTGATTTTAAATAGATTGTACATCGCCTTATGTATGCTGAGCAATGTCAGTGAATGGTACGTATTCAACAGGCAATTTTATTTTTGCTGAAGGACTCTCGTCATGTCACAAGTCTCTCACCCGCCGCCCACAGTCACCGCACCAGGCAGTCTCAACGCCACGCAGATGACCTTTCGCCCCCAGACTGCAGCTACGCAGCTTCCCTGGGAGGCGGTGCACATGCAAGCGCACACGATTGTGATTGTGGTGATTTTTTGCGCCGTCTGCCTCCTGCTCCTCCTGGCGTTCTTCTACACGTTCTGCTTTCACTGCTCCATCATGTTGACCTCAACAGACTCCCACAGCGGCGGGAGGAGCAGCCCAGATCGAGAGGACGCCACCTTTAAGTGCACCTCGACTGAAGGCCTGTCAATTGAGAATCACATCTGACTGGCAATACACGATTGCGATTAATGGCATATACATGATATGCCACACTGAGCAGTGTGGGATTTTTTAAAACACACAAGAGTCAGATGCTAAATCACATCATTAGTTATGACTGCGTAATATCTCCCTGTAGTGCATGGACAGCTAAAATGAAAAAAAAAGTTAAATTTTTTAATGTACTTCATGTAAAATCTTTTTGCACATTCGTTAATTTTTAAATTTATTTAATTTATATTATATAATACAATATATAATATATTAGAGAAATTATTTAATTTTAATTAATTTTTTTTTTTTAAGTTTTTGAAGTCCAACATGGCGCCTGAGTAGGCAGCCATCGGCAAGTGTTCTCATGAGCCTTGCTTTTTTGTGTTGTTTTGTAATGGGCAGCATTTTACACAGCTCCGCTTTGTTCAACATAGAGATTGGTGCTGTTGGACGGTCTGCGGCTGGATGGATGCAAGGCTTGAGGAGCCAACGATGAGAAGAAAGGAGCGTCAGTGCAGAGTGCCGATGCATATGTCGAACTGAAAGTCGCGGCTTGGAGTTGAAGCGGACAACGTGAGATGTGAGCCAATCTCTTTTCGTCAATGGACGCTACAGCTATGTGTTTGCTTTCAAAACTTAGCTTGTAGCAGACGTGTGCACATTTTCAGCATGAGGTCTCTAATCCACTGGTGAAAGGACTCTTTGATCCTCTCCTCTTTCATCTATAACTGCTTCAAACAACAAAGCGTATATAGGAAAAGTGATTAAGATTGTACGACTGTCTGTGTCTTATGTATTGTGTTGTGTTATTTTGTTATTTTGACTTCAAGATGGCGCCGCAAGAGTGGCTGCCTTTCCAGCAGCTCCTCTATTTTGTTCTTCTACTTCTTCCTTTCGTAACTTTGCTGCTGTGAATTGGGATTTTCTCCATTGCGAGATGAATAAAGGATTTCTTATCTTATCTTATCTTAATTGTATTTGAACCTTTCGCAGGGTCAAATGACCTGAAATAAATATTTAATCATGTATAAATAAGTAAAAATAAATATTTTCCATGTCTCATTATTTCCCGAATGTATTTCAGTGGTGTTATTAAGGCTTATATTTTGTTTACATTGGGTTGCAAACATTACATTACGTTGTGCTACATAACATTATTTTGTGTGGCGTTATACAACGTTACCTTGCAGTACAGTACGTTGTGTTACACTGCAATGTGTTAAGCAACATTGCATTACAGGTTTCGCAACATTGTGTTCCTCCACATTGTGGTGCGCTACGTAGCATTGCTCTATCGTGCATTATGCCACTTTAGACGACCGGTACACTACTTTGTGTGCTATGGTATATTACACTGCGTTGTTACACAACCCTACATTACACTACGTTGTGTTAGGCAACATGGCATGACGCTACGTTGCATTATGCTACATGGCACTATGCTAGATTGCATAATGCTATCTAGCATAGTGCCATGTAGCATAATTTTTTGTGGTACACTAATATGCCTGACATTACTTGGCGGTATGCTGTGTTATGATATGATGTCTTGTGTTTCACTACAGTTTATGATGTTATGCTATATTATGTTACACTATGCTGCTACACTGTTGCGCTACCTTGTGTTTCGCTATTTTGCATTAATTTTGCATTGCACAACAATGTTTTTCATTGTGTGCTATAATGTGTGACACTATTATGCTACACGATTATAATACCAGGTTGCCTCACACAAAGTTGTGTTATGACGCATTAGCTACATTGCATTACATTAAATAGCTTTTAACTTTTTTTTTTCAAACAGACACTTTTGTTTGCAATTTCAACAGAGGAAGTAGACATCCATGAGGGTGTCCAGCGAGGTACTGATCATTGTAGTGTTTCTCCTCACTCTGCAATGTCAATTGCCTACATACTTTTTACATTTTTCTGACATTACATCGTTGCCATACAATAGCTTTTAGGAGTGTACACTGCAAAATCTGGAGTGGCAAAATAAACAATAACAAACAGATCAGGGCTGCACACACCTTTGAAGCCAACTTGCTTTATTTCTACCGAGCATACAAACTTGTTACGGAAATATCGCGAATGAGAAAGGACAAAGGCATTCAAATAATTGTCAGATCTAGCTACAGTGTTCAACTGAACCACGAAGCAGTGGTGGAAAAAAAAGTAACTGCTTTAAAGTGGATTTATTTTGTGTTAACTTAAAAATTGACTTCCACTGGGCTAGTGGAAGTTGGATACAGTTTAAAGGGATTAAGAGCATTAAATAAACATTGTTATTTCTATCCAATAAAACACCACAACAAAGGCTTTAAGTGTGTGTCAATGTACTCAATGCAGGTCACCGGAGCTTATCACGGCTAGCATCAACAGACCAAAAGGTCAATAGCAAACACATCTTTTAAACAATGGGTCATGTTCAGTTTTTTTAAGTTGCGTGCACATTGAGTCGATTCCTGGCTGTGGCATCAGAGAGCGTGTTTGGCTTTCCCATTTTAATGCCTAGCAGCTCACGACACGGAACACATGGCACTCTTGGAGCAACGGGAGTCACATGAGCTCTCACGTGACTCCATCATGGAATCTCTACCGTCACACTCAGGTGATTCCAGCTCCAGGTGAGCGTCCTCCAAGGAGTCCTGCAAAGCGTCTTTGTAATGGGACTGAGAAAACAGCGATCATAATTGGAAGTTGAATAAAGCAACTAAAAATTAGTTCAATTACTTTTCAGTTGTACCTTATGGACAGACATCTCCTCCACCCGACACTCTTCCACGGACTCCTCCAGAGAATGGCCTGAATTCTCTATCTTGATGCGATGAGAGTGAATAGATTTGACATCATCTTCGTCCTCGCCCGGCACCAGTGGAAAAACCTGGAAACAAGGATACAAAGTCCAAAATAAATCCCAGAAAGTAATTACAAATTTAAACTTAAAGTTAGAGATGTTTAGTTTTTGGGTACAATTTCAGGAACCCAATATGCATTATAACAGGGGTGTCAAACATACGGCCCGCGGGCTGGAACCGCCCCCTAAGGAGGTTCCATCAGGCCCGCAGGATCATTTAAAAGTGAAAAAATGCATAAAAGGCATGGAATGAATATTTTTAATAAGGTGCAATTCATTGAGTATCCGCTAGGGGACACAGTGTTTTCATCAGAGTAGAAGACAATATTGCTTTGATCAGAGAAGAAGAAAACAGCAGCCTCAGTCTGTCACTGAGACAGACCCAACACAGCAGACACTATCAAGGACAAGTGAATACTTTATTCTTTACACATTTAATAGCACTCTCCTTAGTTTGTAAGGTGTAGGCAGGAATTAAATTTAGATTTTATATGCACATGTGTAAATGGTTTAAAAATCCCTTTCTTTATAAATCTCGTTTAATCTTAAAATGCATTACTATATTTTTCAATACCAATTACTTGTTAAAGTTTTGTGCCTTTGCACAATCAGTGGGATCAGTTGCAATGCATTTATGTGAATGATAAAAGTAAATTGCACATTTGTCAAAGAAAATCTAAAGTGCTTCATGAAATATTTTGAAAAAGATACGTTCATTACATTTCAACATTTCCCTAATGTTGTTGTGCTTCTTTAGACCAAAAAAAAAGGAAAGACATATTATTTTGGTTATTTAGAGCAGACTATGGTATAATTTTAATGGTCCGGCCCACTCTACCGAGGCTGTATGTGGCCCACAATGTGAAATGAGTTTGACACCCCTGCACTATAACCTTTACAGAACAACTTCATTTGACCCTCTCGAAACCACACAAGTCCAACTGTTTTGTGTTCTGCTGCGACACTGCTGAAAGTGACTTAAGTCGACCATTGAAAAATAATTACAGTTGGCGTCTGCGCAAAAGCAACCAAAATGAAAGGAAAACCTTGTATCGGACTTTTGAAACTCAACATAGAAGATACTGCAGTGTATTAATTTCTATCATACCACAAAAACATGGTGTGATTGTCAAGAAAGAAGTTGATGGCCACAAAGACAGGATTATAAGAGTGTGGATATTTTGAGAGGCTCTTGGTAATGATCAATCAACCCATTTAGAGACTGTACACATTCCTTTTGTCAACAGAGACTCTCTGAGCTTTGCTTTCTAGCCACAAGTACATATTTCATTGGAAATATAGTTCGATGTTGTGAAACACAATCTTAAGTGTTGGTCTTGCTTGTGCTTAAAAGGACACATTTTACTGTATGTGCACTCTTGATTGTCTGATTGACCTGCGACCTTGTAACGCCATGTACCAACGCCCAACTCGCTGTGTACTACGCGAAAGTTCGGTTGATTTTGTCCACCTCGCTCAGTGTACAGCAGGCTCAAGTATAATTTTGTTGCATTCCTACCAGTCCCTCCTCGTCTCCCTCGGTGATGACCTCAGTAATGGTGGCCTTGCTGATGGCCTTACTGATGGTTTGGGTCTCGAATTGAGGACAGGCCGCTTGAGCGTTTCCGTCTTTGTCCCGCTTACCTTTCAGCCAGTAGGTCTCAATCTCAACATTGCCCTAAAGGATGAGAGAAAGTAAGGACAACTCTTTAAAGGTAAGGATTATTGATACCCTCCCCCAATTTTGAGTTAAAATTAATGTCTACTGGTTGAATGGCGATATCTTGCTGGAAATAAAATAAGAAAGTGTCAAAAAATGTAAATAGATATAGATATATAGATATAAATCTATATCTATATATCTATATAGATATACGTATATAGATATATAGATATATTGATTGATAGAGAAATGTATGAGCAAAATTGTATCATGTTTAAAGTTTCATTTAATTTGGGCACGTCTAAACGTTTGGGTGCGTATCCAGCGCCCCCAAATGCCTGTGCGAAAAGGCGCCGGCCGTCTGGGCGGAGGGTTTTTGAAGTCCACACTTATCACGTCAATGCAAGGGGGCGAACAGAGGGAAGAAGGCTAGACTCGGTCACAAAGTGGGAATGAACAATTCGTGAACAAAGCGTTGTTAAATAACAAAAGACGATTTGAGAACACCTGTCGCGCCGAGGCGACATTTATCGTCTGCAAAGTCTGCAACTTGTTGATTCATTGTAGACTAGACAGAAAGGCCTCAACGGGGGTACCAGTGGTTCAAAGCTTAAACCAAGGTAACCAATCACTACCGAGGAGCCGGACCGGGGGCGCGGTATGCAAATATCGGGGGCAGTGTTTTTCTTGTATTTTGCATATGTAACAATAAAAGTTCAAACTGGCGGACAGGGAACTCTGAGCGTGATTACCGGGGCAACAACCGTCATTTGCCCTCAGAGATCCCTCCCGCCGTTAATGAAGACAATTTTCCCTGTGTGCCGAGTCATTTCTTTAACTTTGTCCGAGAAAAACTCTGACATAGATATCTATCTATCTATCTATCTATCTATCTATCTATCTATCTATCTATCTATCTATCTATCTATCTATCTATCTATCTATATGTATGTATATTATTCCCGGAAAAACCTTTGCTGTTCCTATATTTAAACATTCATAGCCCAGCTTGTCTCATAAAAGAAAAGAAAGAAAAACTTTTCTTCAGGTTCTTCCTGACGATTGCTTTGGGACAAATATTGCTGGCATTCTCATCAAATGTATTCTGCACAAGTCAGACTCGAGGTTTGAAAAACAAAAGCAAGCAGGCGACACTTACACACTCTAAATTCTAAATATGTTCTCTGCCCACAGCCAAAACATTGCCAGTTATTTTTGTTGGATTCCTGATACGCACATCTTCCATTTGCACCAACTGTAGCCTCAGGGAAGGTTTTGTGCACGCAGATAACATTTATTTACTGCCGACGCTTTTTCCCCACACTGCTTTTCACATGTCCTACAGCAATTAATTACCGTATGTAGTCATAGATGCTAAATACAGTAGAGCGACAATTTCTGGAGTGTGCGTTGTTTTAGACTCCAACCTTGATGGTAATGGTGCCCCTCCTTTCAAAAATAAAGTGGCTTCCTTTCAAGTGCTCATAGGTGGCGCTGCTGAGCTGGATATGCATTTCCTGATGAAGACAGGCAAAGACAGACATTCTTGATAAATTGCTTTTCTTTTTTTCAAGAACTGCATTTTCTTCTTTGAATGCCAAAACCCAGTGTTTAAATTTAGACATTTTGCTACATGCCAATGAACCGTCACTGGTTAACTCTTCATAGAACAGGCCAGCGAGCTACCCATGTGGTCCTTAGGGACTACCTGGTGACCCCTGGCCAATACAATGCCGCCTTAATATACAACTGTCTTAAGTCGTTGTTTGACAGGTTTTTTTTGTTGTTGTTTGGTTTGAAATACAAGCAAAATCTGAGTTCTGAATGTGCTTCAGAGACCCATTGCCAGATGGTAGCAACAAATTTCACATCTGGTCACCATGAATTCACATTATTTGCCCTCCGGCAGAAGAGAAATATGAATGAATGAATGAATGAATCCTTTATTGTCATTGCACACTTCTTACAACGAGATTTTGCAGGACCCTCCACCCCCTAAGTGTATCATGAAATATATAAATACATTGCACTCCCCTAGACATACACACAATCACATACGTCATATCACTCAGTGGTGCTAATGTGCCATTGAGCTGGTTTGACAACTGCCAGTATCCCTCACAGAAGAAAAAAGAAGGGTTTTTGATAAATGCCTTACAGATTTTTGGATTTAAACAAAACAAAACAAAAAATATGCCCCATATTGTTAACAGTTAAATTTAAATACAAATGTCTAGTGAACCTCATGAGTAACGGTTCTGGCCCCAAGTATTTTCCTCTGTTTTTTTTTTTTTTTGTTGTTGTTGTACGCATGTACATGCCAATGCAATGGAGACACTCATAATTCCCGCTAACAACCCAGGTTAAATTTAGCTCCTCCTGGACATACAGTAAAAATGAATGTTTCCTTACAAGTCCTGACTTTGGCACGATCTTCTGGCAAATGTGGATTTGTGAATATCAGGGTTCATTTTATTTTTTTTGTTCTCACCTTTCCGTTGCTCTCCATCGCAGACGCTGTGTGGACCGTGTCGCCATGCAGACCGTAACGGGGCATCTTGTGTCCTACCACACCTGCTACTACCATGCCAGAGTGGATGCCTGCAGCCACAACAAAGCAGGTCCATTTATGTAAGACTTGTTTTCATCACAGGTCCCATTGTAGTTACAGTTGCCCCCAGGGGGCCGGTTATAAGGTTAAACCACATCAATGTATAATCAATAAAAAGGTAACTGTAAACAAAATAATAAATAAAGCATGGTTCAGTATGGACCTTTTGTGTCAACAGAAAAATGCTTTCATTACTTTTTTAAATGAAACATCAACCTTTTAAATATCACCATCACTAGTTTGTCTTCTTTTTAGGGAATGAAGGATGCAACGGTAACCGTATGAGCAGTCTGAATTATTATCCTATAAATCACCACTGTCATTTGTTATTTAGCTTCTTTCTGAAGAGCCCCGGGAGAGGCTGTTTAAATGCCTCTGGAAGTTGCATTTGGACTGTGCTACTTCTTTTTTCTCCTACTTTTTGCTCTCGCTGTACTGATATTCACATTGGTAAGTCACATGGTGTTTCAAGTGAGTGAACAAGTTTAACGTTTTGCCAAAAGCGTATTGCCTTGACTATCATTAGGCGGCGACTGAGCCGCACAATGTTTGCTTGCAAACGAGGTGTGTGGCTAAAGTGTGTCTCAGTTCCACTTCTTGTCCCTGTGTGGGAACTCTAATAATGGAATTATGTTTTTGATTATGATTATTTTCATTTCAGATGACTAGTTTGGAACAGAAGGAACTTCCAAGGAAAAATTGTGGTGTGGAGGGTTGGATCTGTCCTTGAATTTGACACCTGTGGTGTATGTGGTCTAACACCATCATAAGCATGATATCCAACCCACCTACACGAATCTGAATGTTGTTTCCATTTGAGGGATCTTTCAAGTGATCAATGGAGCGCACCATGTCCAATGCCATGTCACAAATGTTATGGGCGTGATACTTGGTCTTCTCCGGAGCGCCCGCGACCACCATGTAGGCGTCTCCGATGGTCTCAACCTTGCAAGGCAACAGATTTGCTTAGAGCAACACATAAACACGCAAAGTACTGTACTAGCAAACCGAGGAATATATGCCCGTACCTTGAAGACTCTGTGCTTCTCGCTGAGTGTGTCAAACAAAGTGTACATGGTATTGAGCATGGATACCACCTGCAAGGGAGTGATGTGGCTGCAAATGCGAGTGAATCCCACCACGTCACTGAAAAGAATGGTCACATCTGGGAACACCTGGGAGAAAATCCAGAAGAAGGTAATTGATACAGAGTAGTAGGATTTGTAGAAAAGTATCCTTATCTATATACTGACAAGCTGCTAACAAATAGCATTCGTGTAACAATGTTTGAACAAAAATGGTGAAGCAAACACATCTAGACAGACATACATAAATATATATTTTACCCTTTGAAAAATGATCTATATTCGTACTATATGTCTGTATTATACTACCCCCATGTGGTCAATGTACACAAACCAGTATGAATCGCAGATTCACACTGAATGATGTGCACTATGCACAAACTGTTTAATTACTTACATTTCATGTAATTGTGTTATTACTTATTACTATGTGTTTTTGTAAAGTACAGTCATACCTCGGTTTTCAATCATAATCCGATCCAGAAGGCTGTTAGAAAAGCGATTTGTTTGAAATCCGAAACCACTTTATTAGCCCATGATTAGGGGCTAATACACTATTCAGAAATAACAAAAAAAAAAAAAAAAAACAGTCAGTTTTTCGTGAATCACAACAAACACGTCTGCTCACAATGAACGTTACACGAGGAATTTCCTCGTGTAAGGAAGCCAAGAGGAGACGAGTGGCGTGTTCGGGTTTGTGCAGTTTGGTCAAAAACTGTTTTTTGGTCTTAATCCGAGGCGTAAAAATCTTGAATTTTCTGGTCGAAATTCGATTTGGTCAATAACAGAGACGTTCGAAAACCAAGGATTGACTGTAAAATATTACAAAGTACAATTTTCTTTTTAAAAACGCTTTGGGAAAATTTTGCTGAATTTTTTTGGGGGAGGCTGGAGAGAATTAATGGAACTTTTATTTCAACGAGTAATGATGAAGGCAAAATAATGAAAAAAAGCGTTTATTACTTATGGACAAATAAATTCTCAAAGTGCCTGTCCACCTGCGAAGTTAAATTAAAAGGTGATCTTTTATTTAGTGTGTGTGCGCATGGCCGTGCGCATGGTCGTGTGCATGTGTGTGTGTGTGTGAGTGTAGTCATGTAACAAAATGTATAAATTCCTGTCCAAGATCTGTTGAGATCATGCTGGTGTATCTAATGTTATGGCCTGTTACTGTCCAAAAAAAATGTTTAACGATAGTGACAGATGCTAAATTGGATCTTATCTTTATTTAGAACGAGTGCTAAAAATAAAGCAAAGCTTGGGCAGATGAAAGTGAGCAAAAGAGGAGCAATGGACTTTTGTGTTCAACCGTTTGTTATTATGTGTTGGCACATTGAGTGTGATCCGTGGTATCAGGCACTCAGATTATTTATTTATTTGGAACTCTGGGGAAATTATTTGATTATAATGACTTAAATGTGCATCATGGGACAAAACAGCTCTTTTTGCTGTCCATTGCTGACCTCACAAGTGTTTACAGCCGGCTCTCCTTTGCGCAGCCTCTTTGCCACTGGCTTGGGAATCATTCTGTAAAGGAGGTCATCTGTCTTCTTCATCTCATAGTCCAGCATCTTCATGCTCTCTTCTAGCTTGCTGGACTTCTTTTGCTCCTGTATTCAGATAGTAACAAGATTACAGCACTATGTACACTATTAATTAACAATCGCCGAGCCACAGAGAGAGGTGTGATGTGAAGCATTTTTTTTAAAGCGGGAACCTGTATGAGTGCTCTTTTCAGCTCCTCTGACTGCTGTGTGCCTGCCAGCACCAAATCTCTGCTGGAGTCATGCATGCTCAGGTCATTGATGTACAGTCCAGTTTTAAACATAGCACTGAGGCTCTCCATCCTGCCCATGTAAACAAACACAATTAAAGACAAAGGCAGATGGACAAAATACAATTGGAAAATGAGTATCGAATAAACTTTGTGGAAGCGATTGTGAGGATGACTTTTATTTTAGCCAGCCATAATATCCTTTTATGTGGCAAGGAACCACATTTGGTGACTTAAAAGGTGAATCAAAAGAGACGCGACAAGCTTCACGGTAAATCAGTAGAACCACTTAATAACTGTTATCCTATTCTCTACTCATATTATCCCTTCCTCATAGGGCGAAGCACTGCCTTCTCAGTCCAAATATACATAAAGTGGATATAGAAAGTCTACACACAACTACAAATGCCAGATTTGTATGACTCAAAAAAAAAAAAAGAAGATGAGACGAAGATAAATCATTGACTTGCAAGTCATTTCCATCCATCCATCTATCCATTTTCTAATCCGCTTATCCTCATGAGGGTCCTGGGTGTGCTGGAGCCTATCCCAGCTGTCTTCGGGCAGAAGGCGGCGTACAGCCTCAACTGGTCACCAGCCAAACGCAGGGCACACACAGACAAGCAACCATCAGCGCTCACACTCACACCTAGGGAAAATTAAAAATGTTCCATTTACTTGTCATGCATGTTTTTAGAATGTGGGAGGAAACCAGAGTACCTGGGGAAAACCCATACAGGGACAGCGAGAACATGCAAACTCCATACAGAAAGGCTGTGGCCCGGATTCGAACCCCGGACCTCTATACTGCGAGGGGGTGCACTGACCAGCCGCCCAACATGCCATGATTGGAACAGTCACTTAAAATATTTTAAAATATGATTCTTACTCTTTCCTTGTAGCTTAACACTTTCTCTTTATGTTTTTTCATTTCAATTTCAGCGTAGCCCAAATGCAACGTTTCACCCTATCAAGATTTGAAATCAGTTTAATGCCCATTACTGCTTCACTGCCGACATCAGTGCACTACATCACAAATATTTTGCCTTTTATAGAAGGATGTGAATGTTTTGGTAATGTTCTCTGTGGGGGAAAAAAAACCTCTCTGTTGCAAATGAATTCCGATTAAGAGTTGCACTGCCTGATTACAAGCTAATTACCAGTTCATTTCATGCCTGGCGAGAGCTGCTCGAATGGGCCCCTGAACTGATTCTGTGCCCAGCCTTTTAATCGCACACTCACTGTAGCGCTCCTTGCACTTAATGTTTTGCCATCGCAACTAAAATGTATTCATGAGAGGCTTTGTCTTTGAGTGTGCACTTGTTTTTGTACATGTGTGAGTGTGAATTTATGTAATTCTTACACAGGTGTTCCAAGAAAGATGATCGACTCCCACTCAGGCATGTATCGCATTTGTCCTTTCAGTTTAAGGCATCGGCTCCCGTCACCCCAGCTCTCCATGGCATTGGCGCTGTTACCGTCTAAAATAGAAACTTGATGAAATGCATGTTAACATAAAAGAAAACTGCTGTTTTACTTGGACTCCTCGAAATAGTTGCTTTTGTGTGTGCACTCTCGCTTTGTGCAAAACAGAGAGGTCAAAACCTTTGTAATCGTCTCCAATAATGGACTGGAAAGCCATGAGCTCCACATCCACATCAGCAGACCGATTGGCATTTTCATAGTCAGAATCTGTAGAGTACAAGTTGGAGTTTCAGAGAAAAGCGATGACAACTCCCAGGGCTGCTGTGATTATAGTACTGTACAGTGTATCCCTGCCAATCAACGGTTTGGACACGTTACCTTTTGCAACTGAAGGAGAAACCTTTGCCACACTTTTGGCAGCGCCTGACCTCTGGTAGTGAAGCAATAAAATAATTACTTTGATGCCGTCTTGTGGCATCTTGGTGCCCAAGAACTATGTTGGATTGAGTTGAGGAGATTCATTTAGACAAAAGTGGTGCTTTTTCACCATCCTGTGGTATCGACAAGCAATTGTTAACATTTGGTAGGGCGTCAATTACTCGGGGGGTTGTATTTGTATTTTAGCGGTTCTTCTGAGACAAACCAAACCTTCGTGCGAGTGTGGACTGTGGAGTCTCCCGGTCACAAGAAGTAGTTTGACTGAGTATCGCTACCTGACTTAAACAAGGTTCATGTGGCGAATTTCTTCACGTCTACCTCTCAATACCAACAGATTGTTATCATTGCCAGGCCTAATTTCCGCTGCATTTAACCGTAGGTCATTTTATATTGTTAGGTAGCAGTTGGGCTGACATTTTGTTCGAGCTAGGAAATGGTATAAGTGCTCAAGCAATAGCACTGTCTTTTTTGAATTGCGGTGAGAGAGGCATGCATTTGCCATGCACATGTTATAATCTTGAAGCTACTGATGAGCTAACTGACTGGATGGCCTTTATCCTTGAATGTCCCAGTGATGTTGTCTCCCGATGAAATTCGCAACCGAAAACTTTTCGCAACCCTGCCATCAGCCTTTTTTTCCTCATCATGTGCGTGGTCTATGTGTGTATGGCGCTTAAGCGAGCGCAGGAAAATCACATGTAAATGAGCCCTCGCACAGCAGACACACACCCCTGCGATTGTTTACATGGCTTCCACTCTTACTCTGGACTCGATTGTGAAGATTCCTCTCTCTTTTCACAGGTTCTTTGGACATGATCTCAAACAAGTTGTTGGGATGGGAGATGATCTAGGGGAACCCACAAAACAAACACTCACAGCACTCGTACATTGTAGTCGACTCGTCCACGAAATGCATGACAGACAATGCCCAATTAGTCACGTTGCTTGGTACGACAGCAGGGAGGGAGAGAGCTACATCACCATGTTCCACGTGAACTCCACCAGGGGACGAGCCAGCAAGAAGGCATCATTGATCTTCTTTCCATCTAAATCAGGGAAGACTGTAGAAAGTCCTGAGCCAACATTGTGCACCACCATGTCCTGGAAATTCAAAGCAATTATTCATTTACTATGCAGGATCATTCCAGTGTATCACTGGTGTCCATGCCTGCAGCGTTTACCTGTCTGAAGACGATGTTGAAGGGAAAGACCTCGAAGAAGAAATCAGAAGTAATTGGCAGAATCTCCTGCTCTTCCTCATCCTCTTTCATGATGTAGCGGTAAGCGGAGTTGTCAAAGTTGAGCCTGAACGGAGACAAATTTATTACCAAAGTACAGTATTCTCCTTCGAAAGGAGATAGTGGTGGCAAGGAAGAGAGTGGGACGTTATGATCGACATGAATGCTGTCATAAATGAAAATTAACACAATCTGAACAAACAGTGGTACATGCCTGGAGTTGACCAGATTAGTCAAGTAGTTGACAATTCGGATTATACTTATCCGAATTGGTGTGTCAAGCTTGAAGTCGACAAATCTCTAATCATGCGTATTTGTCAGTTGTTTTTATTTTTTTTTTCCTTGGGTGGTCCATGGATATTACGTAGAACTGGTTGAAGGGCGCAACAAAAAAGTTGGAGATGATGAAGCAATATCAATGACATCATCGATTAAATGACTTTGACTTGACTTTTTTCACTGCTGAATACAAAAAAAAACTTGTCATTCAACACCCCCAATGGTTGTTCGTCAATATGTGCCCTCCAACTCTTTCGTGACCCTCTGACCCAAAATCAGCAGGGGCAAGGTCCAGGTCACCTGATACATAGTAGAAAATAGAAGGACGGATGCAACATTCAAGTTTCACCATGCTTTATTTAGTATCTCCTGATTTCAGCCTGCACGGTGGTTCATGTGGTTAAGCCGTGCGCCTCACAGCCAAAAGCCTTTCTGTACGGTGTTTGCATGGTGTCCTTGTCTACGGGTGTGCTCACCTACCTCATGGTGACATGGGAGTAGTCCCCCACCATCTGCTCAGACAAGACCTCCACATGGATGTCAGTGTCATAGAACTGCTTGCCCATCTGCCTCAGCTGACCCATGGCATAGTGCAGGTAGCCTTTGCGCTTACTCCTGCAGATCACAATGGGGAACAGAATTAAATCAACACACTGAGTTCTGTTGAATAAATGGAATGCAGTTTGTATGCTCCATTATTTGAACACACTGCATGAGCACAGACCAGAAACACATGTAGTCCAAGCACGAAGCACTAACAACATCTTATGCACATGCTTTTAGGAGGAAATGGGGGTTGTGCGTTTGTTTGCTGTTTGATAATGACTGGGAACTGGATCTACTTCAGAATCCTGTCCCAAAACTTGGACTTGAACGAGTCACTCTCATGATCCGAGGTGGGCATTGTGAGTCTGTCAGTGAGCTGCCGTCATGTATATCAGGCCGGCCCAGTATATCCGAGTCGTTAGCGACAGCCAAACTGTGTCAAGAAAGGACTTAGCAGTACTCCGTCACACCCACACCTAACATGCAGCCAAATACAGAAAAAAATAAGTGTCGTCTCCCTTTCAATCCCACAGACGTCAATGACATGTTTCCCATATTCTGTTTATTTCACCAATCACCACGCTGTGTGCGTGTGTGTGTGTGTGTGTGTGTGTGTGTGTGTGTGTGTGTGTGTGTGTGTGTTTCTGTTGTTTTTATTTAATTTTTTGTTCTTTATTTGGCTGTTTTTCAGCTTGTGCGCCTGTGTGTGAAGTGGCTGCTGCCGACAAGGGACAGACTGCTCCCACATTGTCGGCCTGTCGGCCTAAAATGCAGACGGAATCAGTGACGGACTGATTGACCTTCTGTTAGTATGCGCACTTCTTCTCATTACCAGCAAAGTCCACACTGCTATTCCATATGAATCATTTTATGTTTCAGAACTAAAACTAAAGACTAATGCGTGGACCTCCATCAAATTCTCAGACCTGTAGTGGAGGGTGACTCCAGTGGCAGATTCTTCCTGGCAGAAGAAGGTTGGGGGCTGAACCTTGGGGTAACTAAAACGCAGATATTCATGGAGGTTGTCAAGGCCGTTGACAAAGTCACGGACATGACGGCCCAGCACCTGGGTGCAGAAACATAGCTTAAATGTGTGTTTAGTCCCACCATCCAGGGTGGCAGAAGGACAGTTGCTGATGAATTTTAGGCACATGAGGTCCGCACCATGTTGCAGATTACGTTTCGGTGCATGACAGCCCGTCAACAACAAATTTTCAAAGCATGACAGCCACACCAACCCGCCTACTAAATCTGAGAATTTAGTAGGTAAACGGTTTGGAAAACGAAAACATTTAATGATATTGTGTGTGAGCTACAGTTACACCAAGATCATTTTGAGGTCGTGCATTTCAGCCGGAGCAGAGAGCAGCATCTTCTTAAATATGTGGCTACATGCCATCGCTTGTGTGTAAGACGCTTCGACACCACTTTATTAAAGCTTCCTTTTGGTCCTCATGCCAATGTTAGGTCCACCAAAATAGCACTAAATCTCTGAAATAGCTCCTTTACTTCTCTGACTTTATGGAAGTCATTCGAGGCGCATTTTGTCTTGGCAGAAGTCCTCTTGCCACGCCACACCATCCAGCAATACTCTATTTCGTAGTGCCTGCCCCTCACCACATACACAATGAATGGGTTCGTCAGTGGCACGATGCGCCATGCTAAGTGCAGTGTGAAAAGGGCTTTAGAGTCATAGCCATCAAAAGGCGAGTAGCCACGTTATCCTAGGTTTATTTATACAGTGGTTAAGATCTTATAGTTGTATGAGGAAAAAAAAAACATTGGCTATATAGTTAATCAGGATTTTACAATTTAAGCCAGAAACAAATTAATGTAATTTACATTATTGACTGTTTTTTGTTTTTTTTTAACTAGGAAATCAACAGGCATCACGTAATGTATTGTGATTCACTGTAAAGGTTATCAAGACATTTCCATAGTTTTTTCTTTTCATAGAGTTCAATAGGGTTTTCATACAGTAGGTTTCGCTACAAATATAGAACATGCAATTTGAACATGAGATCATTGGTTACCTTGAGGATTCTGTCATAGCCGTACTTCCCCACAAATCCCAGGAAGTAGACACCCCAAGAGTTCATCAGCTCATTGTAGGGCGTTCCCGTCACCCCGCTAGCTGCCTTCGCAATGCGAGGAATCACACTCTCGCTGTACACCTACAAGTACAAAAATACAAAGGAGAAATCCGCAAGGTATTTGGGGTAAGCCAGACTATTGTCATTATTTTTATTTTTTTTTTACAGAGCAAATACAGAATCTACTGCAATATGAGATTGCCAGCTGCTTCAGATTTTAAAAAATATATATCCGGAAAGAAAAGGCCATGGGTATGGCCACACTTCCAAAGGCCCCCCCTCAACCTTAAACCTTGAAGTACACAAAATCTTTGAAAAATCACTACCAAGTTACATTGCCATAGGAAATTCCAGTTGAATAAACGTTCCAATCCACACAACTGGGTGGCAATCACATTTGCACCTGCAGTATAAATTTGTATTATCACATTTTCGGGGCTACCTGGTGCGTGACAAAGGAGTGTAGCCGGACATCTGCTCTCTCTCTGACCAGCTTCCACACGTCGTCCCCGTACGATTCCTTGATGAAGTCGTGCAGACTCTCACACAGCAGCCCATACATTATGATAAGCGAGATTGAAAGTCAAACTGCAAAGACGGCGTGCTTCCAACAGTAGTCCCAAGGGCACCTACAAGTGAATGAGAAAAGTCCAGACTTCATTTAGTGCAATCATTTCAACAAGCCATTAATTGCACAGCGCTTGCTTTCGCCATTAACGCTGCTACCTGTGGAGCTCAGTGCTTGATCAGATCAGACACCCCAATAGGCTTTCATTTGAGAGACAACGGCGCAAACTGTTTTAAAGGGCCTCTCATTTCACAAGTACTTCGGTGCGGTCGGGTGCGCATTGTTCTTGTGTCAGCTGTCAGCACCTGGTGGCTCCGGAGCTCGCCACAAAAGCCATCGCTCAAACACAGATGACACCAGCCAGAGGAAGTAAACAATTAGAGCGTCTGCCCTGATTTTATTTATGTATTTGGACAAGCGTGCTCAAATAAACACCAGAGGAGTTAAAGGGCAACAATTCTTCTTATTTAATGGTTTGTCTGCAGATGTGATTTTTTTTTTTTTTTTCCGGCTTGAATGACACCGCATTTTCTCTTCGAGGCCGTGGGGCTTTCTAATAAGGGATGGTGGTTTTGTGGAGCTGGGGAGGTGCAAAATCAATATCTAATCTCAACAGAGATAAAAAGAAAAATATGCTTTCCTCCCAGATGTCTGCTACCTCAATGAATCAATCAGTGCAGTACATAAAATCCATTTTTAAGACCAACGGGATTCCACAAAGTGTGTCTAATTGCTTGCAATTACACTTAAAATGAATTAAACAAAAACAAAAAAGTTATGTGATGAAGAAAAATGACACATCTGAAATGTTTAATGCATCCACAGAGACTTGTTGGGTCACAACGACACAGACATTTGACATTTTGAGGTTATGGAGTGTGGGCAAAGAACTAAATTGTGTATTAGAATGCGTCATCACCTAACACAAGAGGACAGGCTCAATCACCACCATAATGTTTGTCGTTATAATTTGCACTTAAAGGCAAGATGGGATTTTCATAAAAAATATTTACTCCTCCGCGACCCCCATGAGGAGAAGAGGATTAGAAAATGGATGGATATTTACTCTAATTTAGTGTGTAACTGCACCATAGTCAATAAACCTGAGCTAAAGTTAGAGACAGACTATGGCGCTTTCTGACTCATGCACATGACTTTTGTCACTGTAGGAATGGAACTGGCATAAACCAAGGACCCTCTGTAGGTTGATTAATACAAAAAAAAAATTGTACATATCCCTTCTAGCCCACTAGCTCTCTAGTCCACAGAGCGCCGTTGGTGTCATCCACTAAGTCACTGCCTCACCTACATTTATGTCGTATGTGGTTCCACAGAATATCGTGGGCAATACGTAGGCCGTACTCATATGATGAGGGAGGGCCGCCTCATGCCAGAAAGCCCAACCCCGTGGGCATCTGACGTCAATTCAATATGATACATAAATTGACTTTTTCAACATCAAATAGTTGTTAAAGACATGTCATGTGGCCCCTGGCATGAGCGCGCTGTACTTGGGCTTGGTTTTTGCCATGCCCGAAAACCTACTTCAGAAAACTGAAGTGGAAAAAAAAATGTTTAACGCTATATGTCAACAAATCAAAACAAAATTGTCCTCAGTGCGCACATGTTTTCAGCACTTATCTTCAAAGAATATTGAATGCATTTTGAAACAAATCACTGAAATCAATTGTTGGTCTTTATGTGCCCTGCTCTCATCAGCTACCAGAAACAGATGGAATAATTACATTTTACAATTTATAAATACTGTAAGCCTTTGACCGAGAAATCCATCTGTGTGTTTTCATTCACAAATTCCACCAAAAATTAAACTTTTTGTGGAAAAAGAGGAAAACATACTGACACGATCGTAAAAACGTTTTGGGCAATTAAGTCAGCAAGGAAGAACAATGACTGCAGTTGCATCTTGACATAAAAGCTGGTGTCTCTTTGAGTAAATAAGATCTTAGAGCAGTTTGTGCAATTTTATAGAGGAAAGTGAAAAACAAAGTGACTAAGAATAATGTTTGTTCGTGCAGTAGAATAGTTGTTAGCCTGGACGAGAGCCACTGATGGCATTCCAGCTGTTATAAGGTATTCACATGCAAAAACACAGAATCTGTTTTTATGAACAAAGAGCTTTGAGTTCTGGCTGAAAATCTTTCTCCTCGCCCCATGCCCCTAATCACTCTATTCATCCATCCTCACTCGTGTTAAAATAACCCGGTGAGCTAAGAGACCGAGGCATTTCGGGATGCGTTTTATGCGGGCTATTCCTTCTCTGTATGGGCAGTGTCACATTGCTGTGGGGGGGCTCCCTGTCCCGGTGCGGGATAAACCCCACAGTCATCCACACCAGCTCTGACACCCCACACACACACAGACAGACGACAAGACACTCAGGTAAGGCGACAGATGCAAAATTATTACGGCATACACAGACCATTAATCGTGGCCTACACACCCACTTCCTTTTTGCAAAACACTGTTTGTGGTGGTTACTTGCACTGCAGTGTAGCTGCAGTGGAATAATTGTGATGCTGATTGTTAAAAGAGAAACGCAATTTCACAAATGAAATTGCTGCCACTTGTAATGCAAGATGAATGTTTCGTTTCATATAATGCATGTGCGCTGCTTGTAAAGATAGTGACTAGCCAAACGGATGCCTATATCACTGGATCAAAAGTCATATTGGATTTCATTTGGCTAATGAAATCTATTTTGGTGGACCAGTATTAAAGGGGGATGAAATTAAACAAGAGTGAGTGTCATGTATTCAAAAATCCAAAATCAACCTTGAAAAGCTTTCTTTTCTCCGTACTTGTGTATCATACGGCCCCTGGTTTGCTGATAGCCTTTGTCATCAGAGTGAATAAATGAATGAATAAACATAAAAAAAGTGTAAATGCTTTTAAATCCATGTTAAAACCTCTGTTGTTTTGGCATAATTAACTAAACAATTTGAAGCAGAAAATCTTTGGAGATTTAAGAGATGCGAGTGCATTGAATCCTTCCAATTTAAAATATAGCAAGACACAAACTCAAATTGTCTTTTATTGTGGAGATACATCTTTGAAGGAAATGCTACATTTATAGTACTGTACCGACAAGTTCATTCACATGCAACTCATTGCATCACACGCTCTCAAACTGAGTCGAACAGAAGTGAATTGTTCCTCTTTAAAATCGAACGGTCTGTGAATCGCATCGCACCCCGTGTATCGAGTGGTCTTTTTTGGGTGAGATGCACACCCCCTTATATACTCTAATATGTCAGTTTTCATTCCAAAAAATAACAGTAATGAAAGTGTCAACCTTTGCAATTGACAGATTTTTTCACGTGCTTCAAGTTCTTCTTCCTTATTTAGCTGTAGATTCATCCTTGCAATCAATATATCTCCTCAGAACCGCTACTTTGATGAATAAATTAATAAAGAGTATTTGTTTAACTTTGCACTTAACCCTGCTTGGTTTTGAGATCTGAGCCATATGTCTTTATATCAGAGGGACATAATGATGTCCATGCAGTCAGGCCTGGATGACGTCACCAAGCAGAGAATGTTGCAGGCTCAGATGTTGTCTAAAGAGGCCAGAGGACGTAAGTAATGAATGTGACACACTTTCAAATGACCCACATAAACATGAGACTCTACTTGGTGGTACAAGTAACGTAAAGGCTGCCTGCAGACGCTACAGAAGTGCACATCCAAATCTCCAACGCACCGACGTGTTCTCCAGAGTTCTCCAGTGTTCTCCCATCAGTTGTGTTTGTTGTCCAGTGTTCCACCACTAACTCAGCTTTGAAAGAGTGTTCCCCTAAGCAAAATGGCGACTCCCATCAATGGATTTCATGCCGGGCCACTCCTTCAAATGCCCCAGCTTCTGCATACACTTATCATGTACGGGAAATAAGGCTATCCTTTCATTGGGAGCGTCTTTCATCTCGAGATTCCTATTTATATGCCCAGTTACCCTTCCAACCTCGGACAACAACAAATACACCCTCTGACATCATCTTGAGTCTATTTCAGGGTCTCTGCTAGGCCATGATAGCATACAAGAGGAGGTCTGTGGATTTCAAGTCAGTTATGCGTGACATTATTAAAATTGGCGCTCCCTTGTTGTTTAGCTCTAGAAGGAAGCAGTGGTGGCCCACATTTCGAGTGCCAGCTTAATTCTAATATCTTTTCCATTAAATTCTATTCATTTATTCACAGCAGTGTACTCGCTTCATTTCATAGCATTTCTCTTGGCTGCACTGCTTCCAATGCATGTTTGTGGATGTTAGATTTTTGTCCAATCAGATTTTGGCTTCTGAGCAATGTTCCCTCTAAGCCGCGTGCGTGACCAATTGTGCACTGCTCTCATCCTCTCAGCGCTCCCTGTGACCCTGCCACGCACCACGCACACACATTACATTTTGAAACTCATTCCTTCATTTCCAGCTCAGTTTAATCTACAAACAGGACACCACACCATTCCCACTTCCCTCACAGTTTCATTAGTGAGACCTCAGTTGTTTTACTTTAGTTTGAAGCATGCACTGACACACATACACTCCCTCACACTCAACACGGACGAGACGCCTCAGGAAGTCCAAACGTGCATAGTTTATGAGCCCCTTCAATGAGACTCTTTCAAGCGTTTCACAGGCCAGCTGAGTGCAAGTTTTTGTGTTTTATTAAATGACATGTTTTCCATTACAGTATTTATTAATGGGCAACGTGGGATTCTCCATCCATCCATTTTCTAATCCACTTATCCTCACGAGGGTCGCGGGCGTGCTAGAGCCTTTGCAAGCTGTCTTCGGGCAGTAGGCGGGGTACACCCTAAACTGGTTACCAGCCAATCGCAGGGCACACATAGACAAACAACCATTCGCGCTAGGGACAATTTTGAGTGTTCCATTAACCTGCCATGCATGTTTTTGGAACGTGGGAGGAAACCGGAGTACCCCGAAAAAACCCACGCAGGCACGGGAAGAACATGCAAACTCTACACAGAACCCTGAACCTCTGGTGTCAGCCGCGAGAGGCCACTTGTGAGTTCATCATATACAGTATAAATCTGTGGGCCATAGATGACATCAGTATTTTTTCATACTAATTGCTTGATCAGAGCAAATCTTGCTATAGCCAACTGTGACTAGCACATCACATTTGCAGCAATCTGCACACCTTAATGCATTTACTACACAGCATCTCAGGTGAGTATGATGTATTTTAGGCGTGTTTTTAATTTTAATGTGATGCTTTTGTCACATTCTTAGATACAGTACTGTATATTCATTCTGAAGTGCTCCCGATGTGCATGGCACAGTTAAGTGCTGTTAAATTTGCTTTTTTGTTCAGCGTTAATAATTTCTTTAATTGAAAGAAATCAGCCACTGAAAGGCACAGGCACCAAATGCACGGTTTGCCACCGATTGGTAGTACGAATATGTGGATACAGCTAATGTGGCATCGCATTAGTGTCATCTAATGCCACACTACACATGTATGCAGGTGTTTCCTGCAGAGTAATCGCATGTGCGTGGATTGTGTGAATGCTCACAAAAGCACATTTGTCTTGCTGGTACATCAGGGCGTCTGAATATGGGGAAGAAGGTCAGCGTTCCAAAAGACGTGATGATAGAGGAGCTCACCCTGCCATCCAACCGAGGCTCTCGCATGTTTCAGGCGAGACAGAGGCGGGCTGAGAGATTCACGGTGGAGAACGCAGACAACAGTGCTTATAACACCATGAGTGTAAGACACAGACACACATGACTCATAGCAATTGATTCAAGTGTGAATGAAAAAAAAAATTCGGAAATGAAAAATAACAGCCTGAGTGTGCAATGAGTAGAGATCTGTGAGCTTCGTTACTGTCAAATTCTAGGACGAGAAGAAGAAAATGACCTATAAAAATCATATTTTGTAAATCAACTATTTTACTTTTGTTCAGCAATACATTAGATAACAATACATTGATTCATTTTCTCTACCACTTGACTTCATTAGGGTTGCAGGTGCGCTGAAATCCGAGCTGACTTCATACGGGTTACACTCTGCCCTGGTCGCCAGTCAATCGCAGGGCACATTTAGACAAACAATGGGTGGATGGATGACATCAGTCACACCTATAGACAATTGTGCGTAGGTTTTCTCAGGGTTAACATGGAACCGCCAGGCTTCCCGTTCTTTCTCCCTCTGTTGATCATTGTTTTGTTTATGTTCTACCAGACGGGTCGTAACTGGGGAAGTACTGTATATTCCTTGTATGTTCTACATCCTTGGCCAATAAATCAGATTCTGTCTCTGATTTCCCAAAACATGCATGCTAGCTTGATTCAAGGCTCTAAATTGCCCATTGGTGTGATTTTGTGTGAAAATGGAGGGCGGAATAAAATTTTGGCTACCCCATGCGATTTGAATTCATAGCGCTCCGACAGTGTCATTAAGATTCAAATAATCTTTTCAAAGACGGAATATTTGATACAGCTCTTTTTAATTGATGTCATTAATTAATTGTATTATGTAAAATCTATGATGACGGTACAATATTTAAGATTATACTTTCCTCAATAAGGGAGTGAGATCTATTCATCTCTTATTACAAAAAAAAAAACAACTTTTCACGTAGTTTCTAGCTTTGGTAAATTTCACGCTGGCTGTATTGTTCACTCGTATTAGACACACCTTCAGTCTGTCGCATGGCTCTTCTGTTATAAAGAGTCTCAGAGGAAAGCTTGGATAACCCCTGTCCTTTCATACTTGAGAAAACTTTGCAGAACTGTGTCCCCTGTAGCTCCGAGGCATGATTAAACTGAACTCCTAAAACCCTTTGACTGCACCCAATCTAATTGTCCCCTTTTCAGGCCCATCCAGTGGCTGTTCCTCCCCCGCAAATCATCCAAAAGCCTCAGGGAGGAAAAGAAAACCACGCTCTCCCTCTCCCTGGTAAGCATAGTCTGGTCATGAACCTTCAGAAGACGGTAGCAAAGAAGGGCAGTCCCGATGTCCTCGCTCCAGGTAAATGGTGCTGCACTGTGCCCAATGGACGCCGCAGTGTGACACGAGCGTAACGGCTAGTTCAGCCTAATGCTTGGGGTGCCTGGACAAAGCCAAAGCTTGTAGAGTTTGTGCCTCATAGTCACAAAACAATGAAGGCATTGTTTTGATTGCCATTTTGTATGAATAATGTATGTTGTTCAAACTAAGATTTTGTGACCATCGCTGCTATTGCTGACAGTAGTGACAATTTGTTGCAGCAAAGTGTATATTAGCGCTGTTGTAGTCATACTAAATATGTGCAAGCCGTAAGTCTGCAGTCTTAATATTCAAGTTTCAAGAAAGTTTCTGAAGAAAAATCCAGGTCAAGTCATTGCTTGGGTTAAACAAGTCATAAATCAAGTCCTACAATCTGGCTCAGTCAAAGAACAGCTGGGCAAAAATGTAAACACAACACTTGCCTTTGATTCCATGTTTCAGAAATTCTAAAGAGATCGAAAATGTTTTTTTTTTTTTGTCGCCAAAAGGCCAATTTCTCTTTCATATTGTTTGCAAATTTGTCTAAACTGGTGTTTGTGAGCTGGGTGACCTTTTACACTGCGGCTGACCACAATAAAAGGGCACTCTGAAATGTCACTCAGAAAACTATTCATGATCTGAAGTAACCAATATTTTCCTCACACAGTGCAACACATTTATGGCAGTAGTCTGCCTTGGCCTTTTGTTGTGGGCAACCTAAGGCACACCTACAATAATGCTTGATCTTCTCGTGATGCAGGCTTCATCTTGATATGCCATACTAGTGAAGTGGATTGGTTATCCTGGCAAAGGGGAAGTGCTCACGAACACAAATTAAGACAGATTTCTGAAAAATATTGGAGAGAAATAGGACTTTTGTGCAAATAGAAAGACTTACGGTAGATCTTTGGCATCAGATCAAGAAAAAAACCTGTTCAATGCATATTTGCACAGTCGTCACTTTGCACTCATTGTCTTGCATTATTTAGCTTACTGGCTAACGCGTTTACGATCGTCGGTCTGGATAATACCTATTGAATTTTTTTTTCAAAATTGATTTAATTTCTGTCCGATAATTACTCTGATGAGTTGCTTTCAGCAGTTTGATTGCTCACGTTAGTTTTGTTTTACAGTGTAAGGGCTGGGCACCTGGTTTGGCATGGATGAAATGATAAACTAAACTAAATTAAAAACTGCATTGTCCCCCGCAATTAAAGGCCTAACTACCACGTAACTAAACTGTGAAGTGAACATATCTTACTTGTCTGTAGGTTTTATAATGACGGATGAAGTTAGTTTTCTGTCTCTTATCTTTGAGTTGCAAACTTTGCACGTTGCCAATCTTTTTACCCACTATTTTATCAAAAAATGTAATCCTTTGATCCAAATGTGCTCCCTTCATGATATTTGCTTCGCTAGCATTGGGCAGAAAAAAAAAAAAAAATTTAAAATCATTCATAAACGAAGCAAATGGAACACTATCTGGACAATGCTAATTTTGATCATGTGAACAGACAGTCAGGTCCCGTCTTTTGAATACCAAATGAAAGTCAACTCTTTCATAGGTTTTAGTCTGAAGTCCTAAAATTGGTGACTTAACTCGCTGAGGTCAATGCCATTTTTACAAATCCTCATTCAGTGCCATTTTTAACTCAAGCTTTCTTTCATCAGGATACGCTGCCCCACTCAAGGAGATTCCCCATGAGAAGTTCAACACAACGGTGATTCCCAGATTCTACTGGTCTCCGTGGAGGGAAGCTTTGCGCCACGACAAGGAGCTTCTGGAATCCCTCAATGTTCAGCTGCCATTACCAAAAAGTCATCAGCTTACCCACTACAGGTGTTTCAACAGGTAAAGTTTGGGAAGCAGTGCCCTTGACTACCCTACCCCTAATTGATTAAATGAATAAGAGATGTATCTCAATACAATACACTTTTGTCTGTATAGTTTGTGCTGATTGGAAGTCATGTCATTATTAGAGGTGGAACGAGGTCATCCACGACCAACAGATGATCTAAGCACCACAATCATTTGGGCTCTCATCCATGTTTCCACAATTTAAATATTCAGACAGCGTCTGCTGTGCACCTCCTTGGACTGCAGCTGCATGATGGCTATTTTCAATCTCGACACTTGAGATGGCCCACTAGTGCTCAGTTTTCAACGCTCTAGCAAGACATGAAGAATCGAAACCATGTAATAGGGTGAAATGAATCCGCACTGTGAGGAAAGACAAATATTGCTTTTTGGCAGATGGTGAACAAGACACGACCGACTTTTTGACCCAAGAGGTTATGTTGTTCTGGGCAGAGGCTCGTCCATCTGTTTGTGTGTTTGCCACTTCCTAATTTGATACAGAGTAATTTTCCAATGTTGTAACAACCTTTTTCATAACATTCATTTTAACACAATAGTTTGACAGCGTTTGCAGGTTTACATGAAAAATGCACCAATAATTCACAGATAATATGCACTCCCCCACCAAAAAAAAAAAAAAAAAAAGCCAGTCCACAAAGACCTGGATAAAAAGTGCACAGTGACGGCATTTTTTTTCACTATTCAGACTGGCGTGGTTCTGCATATCAACTTTTTTCACGATGGGTGAATTTTCTTCCATGGCATTCCAACTCATTTGATAGCAATCTGGTTAATCTGTTCAGACTCATCTCTGTCAAACAACAAGAAAAGGTCATTTGTTGTGTCCATGTTATGCTCTTGTTGCATTCTTCCAGAATTCTGGCTGTGGATAAGACTTCACCAAATTGAAGCTAGTTTTTAATTACCGGTAAACATTTTTTAGGGTGGGGTTTGGTGGCAACCTCCGTTTTTCATGAAAAAGACCTAATGGTGGTTTATACCCACTTACCAGTATTCAAGAATTTGTGGGGGGTAAATTTTAGGGGTTGGGCTTTCACTGCAATTGAATGAGCATCAATTATTCGCAGACCAGCCTGGCCCCTTCACGTGGGATCCCCTGTATTGCCTTTGGAGGGCCACATAAATTGAAGTCGCAGGCCGGACCTGACCCCCCGCGTCTGATATTCGACACAGATGAGATATGTGGACATGATGTCGCCTTTTTTCTGCCAGCCTCTCTGAAAATGAGCCCCCTGTGGCTGGATCTATTTACACCACCCAAGATTTTGATGAAATTGTGAAACCTCCATCAAGTCAGCTCAACTAATGGACAGACCAGCTGGTGATAAACAGGTTGAGTCATCCTGAATCCCACGTGGGTCCTCTGCCCTTTATCAGACCTTCAATTCAATCAGAACCCTATCCACAGTAGATATTGACCGCATTTGATGGTATTGCGTGAGCAGCATAATGCATTAAGATGAAACTAGTGTTTCTTTTGACTTTCAGGTCTCCCATGCCTTTTGGAGGTGCACTGTCCAGCAAGAGGGTGATCCCCGTTATAAGCTATGAGGCCCAGGAATCCCAAAACCTACCTGGTGCCATTTTGGAGCGCATGTGTTATCGGCCTAATTTTAACAGAGCACCCAGAGGATGGGGAGGTTTTCAGTGCCCTGAATCTAATGAACTATGAAAAAGGACTAATTAGCTCATGCCTCTGTTAGTTATCAGCAACAGCAGGGGGCAGAGGAAAAAAAAAAACTTGCATTATAAAGTGGTTAGCTGCTACAGGATTTTGAAACTGTAATTTTCAGTTATGCACTGAATTAGAAGGATGCAGTAAACTGATCAGTCACAGACAGCATGCATTTGTATAGCTTGACTGAATCTAGGCTTGCAAACATTGGATTTTCAAAAGATGGCAACTAATAACATAATGACAATTTTAAAAACTTAAGGGAAATTCCTGATCTTAACTTTTCCAGGAAATTGAAGACTTTCCAGAAATGTACAACTCCTTTGTAACCCTAAGTCTATATCAACATTTTCAACAAATCTCTGTAAATTTTGACTTTTTTCTGTCACATTGATTTTGATTATGAATGGAAACAGAGACTCAAGACTGAAATTAATATTTTTAATAGGTGAAAGAAATTTTCAAAGAAAGCCAGCCGATCAATAAACTAAGTCATTACACAGTGGAGTATAATCATTGTTAAAAAAAAAAAAAAAAGGCAAACTGCACTAATTCAGTTGTGTGCTGCACCGCGGATGCAAAATAAACCTCATAATATCCTGCATGATGAATTTTGAAATTCCATTCAGTCCACAGCAGGTTCCAGGCCCACGGGCAGCATGGCGCCAGGTGTGACAAAAGGGAGGAAAAACAACCAATCAGAGTAGAGTTTGAGCCTTGACGCTAATCGCCGTGGCGTGCGCCGTGTGCAGCATGGGCACCCATCCGCTGGGGATCCTGGGAAGGGTAGTGGATTTGACCTGGAGGTCTCATGCCGATGGGTGGGGGCATTGGTGGAGCCATGGGACCCATGGGGTGAAACATTGGCGGGCCAAAACCTTTGAAGGAAACGGTCAACACAACATTAAGTGCGTCTGTGCGTGCGTGTGTGTTTCAAATCCACCTAAAGCATATTATGACTCCCCCGAACGGATCAACATTACCTTTTCATACAGGGGCTCGTATTAGAATGCGAGTAGATATTGGTTGTGAGTTTACCTGGAGGAGGGGGGTTGAGGCCTGGGGGTGGTGGCAGAGTGAGGTTCATGACAGCTGGAGAGGTGCTCGGGTCCAGGTTGAAATAATTTGCTGGAGCTTCTTCATCAAGAGGTGGTGGTGGAGGTAATGCTGTAAAGTTGTCAGAGAACATCATCATCACCAATAATTCTGTGTTGGCATGTCAAATACATGCAGAATTAACATAAAATCAGTGAATACATTAAACCAGGAATGCCCAAACTACAACCCGGGCTACTAGTGGCAGCATTAAATTTAAGTGTCGGAAGGAAGAAAGAAAGAAAGAAAGAAAGAAAGAAAGAAAGAAAGAAAGAAAGAAAGGGAGAGAGAGAGAGCGCGAGAGAGAGAGTGTGGTGGGGCAATTGCACCCACCTCCCGGTAGTCCTGGCACAGGATCAAGTCTGGTACCCATCTCAGTAAGTCCTTCGCCCTCCTTTCCTCTTGCTGCCTGAGATCTGAAACATTTTATAAATACACATTTTAGGGGTCTTCTGAACTGTTTCACGGAACACTGGCACCCACAATGATGTCTTACCTTCCCCACTTGACCGTGAGTCTCTGACCATTAACGATAAGCTTGTTGAATGACTTTTCTGCAGCCATTTCAGCAGCTTGACGTGTGGCAAACTGGATGAAGGCGCACTGCTGTCTTTGTACAATTGTGATGGTACGAATCTCACCAAACTGGTAGAAGTAGCCCCTAAGAACCAAACAAAAAAAAAAAAAGAAAGTCAACATCCAGCATACTTACACATCGTTTAAAAAAATGCAGAAATGCACACTTGAGATCTCCATCTGTGACTGTTTCACCAAGACCGCCGATGTAGAGCGTGGTGATGGACTTGTCGTCTGGGGGGTCCAGCCTGGGCATGGTTGAGGCCCGCTTCAGCAGCTTGTCAGCAACTGGATCATTAATGCCATAATAACGATCCTTGATGTTCTGGTCAGCGAGCGGGTCATCGGGATCGGTGGGCTTCTCATGCCTGTGTAAAACAACAAGGCATCAGGTGGGGCTACGTTACACATTGCCTAGACAGCCATATGCAGTGTTCCCCGCTGTATCGCAGTTCGTTCCCCTGCTATTTTGCAGATTTTTAAGCAATCACTTTTTATTAGTTTTTGAAGTATATAGCCCCTTGCCTACTTACAAACATCAGATGTATGAAAATGTCTGTGTTAAGAATTTTGATTTCTGAAAGTTCAGCTTTACAGTTACATGCCTTCAGGGTAGCACCACAATGTGCCATAACATACCCGGTAGCAATGAGGTCTTTTGGAAGAGGTACCACGAAGAAGAGGATCAATCCTGGGAAACAGTGCAGTACCACAATTTGCTGTTTTTGTTCCAACAGACCAGAGAGAATTTATACCTGTGAGCATTGCTTTGTGTTCTGTTTTGTGGTTTTGCTCCGTGTGTGTTAAAACAGCAGTTGCTTGGAGGATGATAATCACTGTAACATCTCTACTACTTTCTGTTAGCCAATCAGGTGTTGCATTGGAGCGGTCTTTTGTTCAAATTTAATGGTTTGGTGGAACATTTTGGTATTTCAATATACAATATTTAATTCTCTTTTGTTCAACGTGTCAGTTTTACAGTAAACTTCAATTGCTGGTGACAAACACCTTGACGCAAAGACGCTTTGGAGAACTTTGTGAGCGAGAATGATAACAAGTGGTAAGGAACACTTTAAAACACATGTTTTAAAATTCCAATAGAAAAAATATATGCATGGTAACTCTTGTCCTGCAGATTGTCAATGTGGGCCTAGACCGTATCAGCCAAAATAAATGAAGGTTTAGTAGAGTGCCTGCACGACACAATTGACGCTGCAAGGGTAGTGTGATGTGTGGCGTGCCATGCACCTGTAGGGACACTCTTCTCCTCTCCTACACTCGCCCTTAACCCAGAAGGAGCAGATGTGCGGACGGTTCCTCTTGTAGTACGGTGTTGTGCGGGCGAGTTTCAGCAACATGTCACTAGAGCTGGTTGCTTTGCCGACTTGACCGCCTGGCCGTGTGCCATCCGAATTGGCTAACTGGGAACAACAATGAAAACAGAAGACATATGAGGGCTCAGTCAATAATCAACAATATTTCATTTATAAATACGCAAATTTATTTATAAAATTATAGGAATGATAAGTGTGCAATTCACATTGTTATTTATGCAATAAAATGTGGAATTTAAAAAGAAACAACATACAGAGTGAAAAAGTATTGTTTTTTTTTATGTTAATGTAACACTGGGCGCGAGTATGATAAATCAAATACCTCTCTCTCCATGTTCTGTGTAAAGTATTCTTTGTTCACATCGGAGCGAGGAATGTCATCTTTAATGGCGAGGCCAGTGTCTCGAACCTGGATGGGTAAACCTGAGATAAAGACCAAACACTTTGAGAGGTGAAACTTACAAGTTCAACACTACAAACATCAACAAAGGTGTAACATAAACCAAATCCAAACACTGACCATACTCCAGATCCAGCAGGCATGTCTGACAAACATTCTTCATTTTACTGCAAGTCTGACAGACTTCAGTCTTCTTGAAACGCATACGTGTCCCTGGACACCAGCGGAACACGGTAAAGGGTCGAGCACAGATCTGTGGGCAAAACATACAATCATTAATGCAGTGAAGATAACATGACATGTTCAAACTTCAGTTGCATTTGCTGCTTTAGAGTATGTAGGCATACCTTGCATTCTTTTCCATATTTCTCTTTGGTCTGGTGGGAGGGGAAAAAAAGTAAAGTGTTACGTGCGTGAGTAGTATGAGTACACTATAAACACGACAAAAACACAGAATGAGGTGATTCACTGAAGATTCAAATGCTCACTCACCATTCGAATGTAAGGGTTTTCTCCTAAACATGTCTGACAGAGAATTGGGAAATCCTGTAAAGAAGTGTGATTTGGACAAGTTTTATCAGCAGTGGTGGGAAGAAACGTCAGTAGACTTTTCAGGCAAGGGATGGATGGATGGATGCGATTTTTTTGTCAAGAAGACTGTTTTTTTTCATTCCCTACATGTGGAAACAGATATATTTACTTTTTACTGCTTTGCTGAAATGGGCTTGTCTTGTTTTTAGTAGAGCACTAATTAAGTTGCTAATAGGAAAATTACCCGGGGTGGAGTTTTTACCCCGCCGTCAGATCAATTTATTGAAACGAAAAATGTATATGAGTAACTGTAATAACATAACACATTAATTACATGTCATTAGTAATTAAGTACATATCACTGTCTGAACATTTTTACGTTTGCTCAAGTACAGGAGTTTAATCAATACTTGAACTTTTGTCGCGGTCTTTTTTTAAACACCAATACATGCACTTTGAGTTTAGTTTGCCACCCCTATTAGTCCCGTTAAGCAAAGGCTACATCAACCCAGTTAGAAGTTAGTTTACATTCAAAATTGGCAACGCCAGTCTGCTAACACTTGGCTTCGTTCAGTCATCGTCGCATTCAAACTGCCTGATGATGGTTAAACATGACTTGTTCAGCAGTTTGCCAACAGTCGATCGATCGCGGATACTTCTATCAAGTGGTTTGCGAGTGTGAGGATTCGACATTTGAAGTGTTCAGGCTCACGTGAAGAAAGGCTAGCATCCACGTTACTAGCCGAGACGATAAGTTAGCTTGCTAATGCTAACTATCCGTGCAAAAAACGAATATATTTGTGGTAAAAGGGGGCATATTTTCAATGTAAAGTTATTCCAGAAAGAACTGTTCCAACGGCAGCGTTTGATGTTTATAAAATAAGTACAGTAAAACGTACCGCGTCTTCCCAGTTCTGTCTATTGTAGGTGTTGGAGCCGAGGGACGTCGCCATTTTGCGAGGTATGATGTCAGACCGCGATGCACTGTGGAAGTGCCTCGTTTCGCCGCAGGGTGTCGCCCTTTCCAAGAGCCTTCCTCAAGTGGAACTGTCCACGACAAAAGCATACGTAAACGTTATCTGCAAAGGGGAACATATTAAGGTTAATATTGATCAAATTCATTTCCAAATAGAAAGATATAGGAAGTACTGTAATAAAGTACGATACAAACTGCATGTTTTATCTGGCTTTTGAAAACCGATATCTCTGGTTTCTCCTCTTTGGTTCATCACAACATGCTTGTTACTTTTTCAACCTCCACAGATGACGAGATGATGGGGGAAAAAAAAGACGCGGAGGAATGTGAACCAGGTTACCAGGTAGCATTAACGAAAATTACGCAACAGATTAAGAGAAGTACAATATTCCCCGTCCATGTCTTTATAATTAAGAGAATTATTTGATGTTGTCAGATACAGTAATTATTTGTGGCTTGTATGTTTTTGTCTTTTTCTAGCCTCAAAACTACGACATGTTGGCGTTCTAAAATTCACTGTCTAATATGAAAAAAAAACACACACACACAAAAGAGGTGGTGTACATGTATTTTGCAGTTATCATTAGTTATTTCTGCATTTTTTAACCAGCCAATTCACAACATAAGGGAATATATTTCTTTGGTAATGTTTTTAGTTACTTTTCTTCTCAGCACAAAGAAGTCGGATGCAAAGTAATAAAAGAGGGAAACCATTTTATGTGCAGAGATTTTTTTTTTTTTTTTTTGCTGAAAGTCATTGAAAACAGGTATGGTATAGAATCGACAATACTTTTTATTTTTGTCCATAAGTACATTCCGAATCTGTCCTTTTACTCTACTGTACTTTTACCCCAGTCTTTTTTACATAAGGTATTTTGTACTCCTACTTTGGAACAGGATGTGAGTACGTTTGCCTCCTCTGCAAATAACATTGTACGATAAGCTGCTGTTGCTTTCTTAAAGTCAAGTATATACAGTATATAAGAAAACTAGCTGAATCCCAAATGAGTAAACACTTGGTTACAGAGGCAATAGAAGACTCAAACAGAACCCAGGCTCTGTGGAGTGTCTGCTTCGGCCAGTTAGGCTCAGATGGAGAGTAGAAAGACAGAGGACTGCTCGCCCGTCAGTTACAGCACCTGGAGAAAACATATGCAGGCATGAGGGTGAGGGTGGGGGAGAAACATGCAAACTCCCTTAAGAAGCCCGCAATAAAGAGTGAAACACAGATCTGTTGTAAAATATTGAAATTGTGTAAATGCAAAAAAGGGGTGAAGAGAAAGAGCGTAAGAATAGATGCACAGTAAGCCAATTCCTTTGTCTGCTTACAGTTTAGCTACCCACCTGTTCACATCAGGTCGGAGTGTCTTTGCTGCGTGAAACTCCAATTAGTGGGGCACAGGATGTTTGCCATATCCGATTGGTAATAAGCCCCTGATGTTTAGTTAAGTTCAGGATGAGGTTGTGGAGAGAGAGATTAAATTGTGGATCTCTTTCTCTGTGTGTATGTCTCGACATCCACGACATTATGATGAATATTCAGCTGTGTCTACAGTAAATTCCATGACAAACTGACAAAAGTATCTCTGCCTTATTTCTGTTTCCCTTTCAGTGTAGTGTGCAGTAAAAAAAATGTTCAGAGTAGTTCTGAGACATTTAATGAGGCGTGTGACCCTGTCTTCTCTGTCATGTGACGTGGATGAGACAACCAAAGCTGTTTTGAAGGACAGCTTTGTTTCGGATTTAGCCACTACCTAATGAGAATCACCACAACCTCATGAGTCACAAGGTCAGAGGACACCAAGGTGAGCAACATCTCAGCTGCTCCAAAAATGATTATTCTGCGGTTGACTAGAAATTTCAACTTGTGTTTATATCATGTTTACATTGAATTTCCAATTAGAGTAGTAATTGGAAATTGTATGAAAGCGTTGAGCCATAATTAGCACCATAATGTGTTTCTCATTTCATTGTACAATGAGGGAAATCCACCTCATGAGTTACACCGCTACATCTTAAAAATATTGTATTATGCATACATTCACTTAAGATGGTCATTTAGCAATGATTTACATTCGGAAGCTGCTTCATTAGGTATACATCCCTGTCTGGTTAGTGGTGATATCCAGAGCTATTTTTAAGACAATGCCCCTCAGAGGGCGGCACGGTGACCAACTGGTTAGTGCTTTAGCGTCACAGTGCAGAGGTTTTGGATTTGAATCTGAGCTTCGGCCTTCCTGCGTATGTTCTCGCTGTACCTGCGTGGGTTTTCTTCAGGTACTCCAGTTTCCTCCCACATTCTAGAAACATGCGCGGTAGGTTGATTGAACACTATATTGTTCCTCTGTGTGATTGTGGGTGTGAATGGTTGTGCGTCTGTGTGTGCCCTGTGGTCGGCCTACAACCAGTTCAGGGTGTACCACGCCTACTGCACAAAGACAGCTGGGATAGGCTCCAGCCAGCCCGCGACCCTTGTGTAGATAAGTGGCTCAATTAATGGATGGATGCTCCTCAGATGTAGCTAAAACCAAAATGTTGCAACCACCAATTAGAACAGCATAGTGCAGTTCTACAACCACTGCAAATAAAAAAATGCAACAATAAAATGATAGATAGATAGATAGATAGATAGACAGACAGACAGACAGACAACAGAAAAGTAGATTGTAAAAAGGTTGCCTTCAAACGTCAAATATACATTATCCTGAAGTCAAATTTAAAACTGCAAAGTAGCGACTGAATGAGTAATCTTACCACGCTCTTGCCCTATAGCCTTTCAAAATTCATTATCATAAAATAAAATAGGCTAATCCCAGTAATACTGCATGCTTATTCCCGTGTAGTGGGGATAGATATACACGCACTCAAACACAGTTCATCACGGTCAGTATAATCTCTTGACTGAAGTGCACAGATTCATTTAAACCCCGTCAGGAATATGCACACACGCATCGTTTCTTTGCGGACTTGGACAGCAGGCATGTGTGCAACCCGGGTGGGGGTGTAGATGTTCCAAAGCAGTGCCCTCTATGGACAGTTATGGAGCACTGCAGGTGCAGAGAGCTGCAGAAAGAGAGGGGGCATTCTCAGATTTCCCGACTTCTCCCAGCCGTTCCGCCGCTTCCACATCACCGCGGCGAGCCGAGACGACATGCGCCCAGGTCGCCTCATTTCCGCGGCCATTACTCAAAACAACGCACGATAACGGTTGCTGTAGCTCAAACTGAGGTGAGTGCATCGACGCCGAACCGCTTCGTCGCGGTGATTTCGCACATGTTCGCCCCGCCGCTCACTCGCTCTCCCAAGCTAGGCTAGCAGTGTGTTGTTGGCGCAGGCGGAGAACGAGGCCAGCCTTCGGCCTCTCCAAGCTCCCCGGGTTGGAAAACGGCAAGCCCCGGTAGTCGAGCGGCTCCCTTCGCCGCTTGATGAGACTTCATTTGGCGGCTGTAGCGGGAGGGGTCTAGCCATATTGTCGATGTTTTGGTTCGGATTAGAGCCGCTATGCGGTTGCATAGCGGGATTTAGTCCTCGTTTATTCTGCAATGGAGCCGATCCGCCACAGACGATAACTTAGTCTTCCAACTTTGTAGCTTCTGCTGCGGTTTACTACACGGCCGCGAGACCATTGCGGTAAGTTAGCTTAGTCGGGAGTCGCGATTGACCTACAAATGTCACCGTATAATGTCTGTTTTGCTCGCAAGAATTTAAAAGGCCAAACCAGTTTGTGTGCAAATAATATTAGAAAGGTCGACACGGCTCCCTGACAAAGGTGGATAAACACGAGAATGTAACGGCTGGTTTACGTTTCATTTTCCCCAAACGACAATGGGGATTCATTCAAGCTCGGTTGACAGAGGTGATGCTTCAGACCATTTTGGAGGTACCTGTAGAAATTGTTTCGTGGGCTTTTTTTATAAGTACTGTAGTAATATTTCTGCACACTTGCATAGCACAATTATTGGGTTAGCTGTTGAAAGTACACGCATGCATGAATATATTCTTGCCATGTGTCTTGGTGAGCATTGTGTAATGATCCATCGTTGTATTTTTCGATTGTCTAAACAATGTCACTCTGCTTTGTTTTGTGCGATGGTGTGAGGTTAGAGCACACGCCTACCTCTCCAAGAGAACTTATCATGAAGTATTTATAAACATTAGGCTTTCCACAAGCAGTAAAGAGGCAGTCCAGACCTGCCTGAAATCTCTTGCCCCTAGGTGTGCATGCGTGCATCCATCGGAGAAGGATTGCTAAAGAGCAATGACTCACGCCCAGAATGTGTTTGCCAAAGCCCCTGCATTTTACATAATTTTTTTTTTTTTTGGTCACAGATCTTTGTGTTTTCCGTAAATGATTTAATTTGCATCATGGAGTTTTGAAGAAATTTCAAAAATGATGGTGGGCTGAATCTTTCCGTTGCGTTCTGGTTATCTTTGCCAAATATTTGTGTGGTTGTTCTAACGTTCCATCTGACTGCTCCCGCTGGCTGCCAAACTTGCTGTGATCTAGCATGTCGGCTTCATGAAGGCTGCCACAGTCATTTGATTCTGTTTTATCAACATCTCTTACAATAGATACCTGTATATGCCTGTTAAAAGCTGCAGCTCCTTAATCATAATGCCTAAGCCTCGTAAAGCACGCAAAGGATGACAGTATGTCTGATCAAATTGTGACAGTCAAACAGTGTTTGGTGAACATCGCAGCATCAGATTGCGGTTTTTGTGCTTTTGTGTAAAGCCAAAAAAAAAAAGATGCTTTTTGTCAGTTGCAGCTTTGATTAGATTGTTGTGACATGAAATTTTCCTGGAAGAGAGGTTGAATTAAATGGCTCTGCAGTTACTGTCCCATCTCGTATATTAAGTAAGCTGCGGTGCCTAAAACGTCCTTTGTATTTTTCCATGTCATCATTCCTTGTTGCCACACTGTGTGTGTGTTTAGGGTTGAACTCATAAAAAAAAAAAAAAAAAAAAAAAAACAAACAACAAAACAAAAACAAATAATAAAATCAAATAAAGTAGGTGGCTCAAG